CAGAGGATGCATGGAAGAGTGTGGCAGACTTGTAACAGTTACTACTTGAGACCCCCACTATGACAGTTACTACTGTTACTACTTGAGACGGTCATTACAACAGTTATTACTGTTCCTACTTGAGACTGTCATTACAAGGCTGAACGAAGGGGGATGAACACAGAAATGAAAACTTAAAACAAAAGAAACTGTTTTAAAGGAAGGCGCCAAGGGAAGAAGAAGAGAGCTCCCTGCTTCGAGTGAGCAAGGGCAGCCGCCCCGAGCTTCTACAGCCCTTCATATTTATTGGGTAGAAAGAGCAGGGAGGAGGAGGTAATGATTGGTCAGCTGCTTGATTGATCACAGGTTCACATTATTGTTAACAGGCTTCAGATGTGCCTAATCACAAGCAACACTGTGCTTGGGGCATGATTGCCCTCAGGATTCCTTCTGGGTGGCAGATGCAGTTTGTCAGTTTGCTAACAACCTGCTTTCATGAGAACAGTTTGCTGTTTACTCATATAGCCTCCAGTGGTATACTGAGTTGATCACGACCCTCGCTCTATGAGGAGCCCTCATAGAGAACCTCTGCTAGGGCAGTGTGGAAGAAATGTGGGGTTGTAGCCCACACACAGAGTTCCCACTGGGGCATTGCTTAGAGGAGCTGTGAGAAGAGGGCCACCATGCTCCAGACCCTAGAATGGTAGATCCACCAGTTTGCATCATGTGCCTGGAAAAGCCACAGACACTCAATGCCAGCCCATGAAAGTGGCTGGGAGTGGGGCTGTATCCTGCAAAGCCACAGGGGTGGAGCTGCCCAAGGCCTTGAGAGCCCATCTCTTGCATCAGCATGACCTGAATGTGAAACATGGAGTCAAAAAAGATTATTTAGGATCTTTAAGGTTTAATTCCTGCCTCATTGGATTTTGGACTTACATGGGGACTGTAGCCCCTTTCTTTTGACCAATTTCTCTCACTTGCAATGGGTGTATTTACCCAATGCCTGTACCTCCATTGTATCTAGGAAGTAACTAACTTGGTTTTGATTTCCATAGGTGGAAGAGACTTGCTTTGTCTCAGATAAGACTTTGGACTTGGATTTTTAGGTTCCTGCTGGAATAAGGTAAGACTTTGGGGGACTCTTGGAAGATCATGATTATGTTTTGAAATGTGAGGACATGAGATTTGGGAGGGGCCAGGACAGAATGATATGATTTGGCTGTGTCTCTACTCAAATCTCACCTTGAACTGCAATAATCCCTATGTGTTAAGGGCAGGACCAGGTGGAAATGATTGAATCCTGGGGGCAGTTTCCCTCATGCTGTTCTCGTGATAGTGAGTTCTCATGAGATCTGATGGCTTTATAAGGGGCTTTCCCCTTTGCTTGGCACTTATTCACTCTCCTGACACCCTGTGAAGAGGTGCCTTCCATCATAATTGTAACTTTCCTGAGGCCTCCCCAGCCATGCTGAAGTCAATTAAACCTCTTTTCTTTACAAATTGCTAAGTCTTGGGTATTTCTTCATAGCAGTGTGAGAATGGACTAATACAGTATATTTACAGAGAAGCAAAGTAGATTAGTGGTTGCCCAGGGCTACAGTCAGGGATAGGAATGGGGTTGTGGGGCTATGGGAAGTGACTATTAATGGGTATGAGATTCCTTTTGGGGATGATGAGAAAAAATTTTTTTCTGAGACGGGATCTTGCTCTGTAATCCATGCTGGAGTGCAGTGGTGTGAACACTGCATTGTAGCCTTGACCTCCTGAGCTCAAGTGATCCTTTCACTTCACACTCCTGAGTAGCTGGGACCACAGGCATGCACCACTGTGCCAGGCTAATTTTTTACTTTTTTGTATTAGCCTGTTCTCACACTACTAACAAAGACATACCTGAGACTGAATAATCTATAAAGTTAAGAGGTTTAACTGACTCACAGTTTCATATGGCTGGGGAGGCCTCACAATCATAGTGGAAGATGAATGAGGAGCAAAGTCATGTCTTACATGGAGGCAGGCAAGAGAGAGCATGTGCAGGGGAACTCCTCTTTATAAAACAATCCGATCTCATGAGACTTATTCACTACCACGAGAACAGCATGGGAAAGAACCACCCCCATGATTTGATTACCTCCCCCAGGTCCCTCCCACAACACAGAGGAATTATGGGAGCTACAATTTGAGATTTGGGTAGGGACACAGCCAAACCATATCAGATGGATCTCACTATGTTGCCCAGACTGGTCTCAAACTCCTGGGCTCAAGCAATTCTCCTGCCTTGGCCTCCCAAAGTGTTAGGATTACAGGCATGAGACACTGTACCCAACCTGAAAGTGTCTTAAAATTGATTGTAGTGATGATTGCTCAACTGTGAATATATTAAAAACCATTGGGTATACTTTTTTTAAAAAGAGGAATCATATAGTATATGAATAATATCTCAAAAAAAGTTATGTTAAAAAAGTGACCTCTGGATTGGGAGCTACTGGTGACCTCAGTGAAAGCAGTTTCTAGAGTGGTGGAAGTAGACTTCAGATTAAAGAGTGTTGAGGAACGAATGAAAGATGAGGAACTAGGTAACAAAAGTCATCTAGCCTTTCAAGATCTGTGACAAAGAAGATAGGGTGGTACTAGAAAAGGGGGCAGGTTTTATCAAGGATAGACTGGATAAAGAAAATGTGGTATGTATAAACCATGGAATACTCTGCAGCCGTAAAATGGAAAGAGGTCATGTCCTTTGCAGGGACATGGATGGAGCTGGAAGCCATTATCCTCAGTAAGCTAATGCAGGGACAGAAAACCAAACTCCACATGTTCTCACTTTTAAGTGGGAGCTGAACAATGAGAATGCATGGACACATGGTGGGTGGGGAACAACACACACTGGGGCCTATTGTGGGGACGGTAGAGGTAGGGAGAGCATCAGGAAGAATAGCTAATGGATGCTGGGCTTAATATCTAGGTGATGGGTTGACCCGTGCAGCAAACCACCATAGCACACGTTTACCTACGTAACAAACCTGCATATCCTGCCCATACACCCTGGAACTTAAAAGTGGAAGAAAAAAAAAAAAAAAAACACAAGAGAAATGGACGGAATTTAATAAAATTTGCCACACTACTCTCAAGATTGTAATGATATATATGCCCATCAGCGAATTTTGACTGCATCTTTACCTCATATATAATAAACATTTCAAATCTTTGTTCTCTGAAGAGGTTAAAAATATATCTTTTTCTTGCATTAATTTCATTTTCAGCTATCAAAGATTTTTTGGTTACATATGTTTATCAACCATTTTAATTTCTTTTGTGAGTTTCCTTTTCAGGTTATTTGCTTATTTTTCTTCCTTTATTTTAATAAATAGTTATATTGTCTGTTTTTAAAAAGGGAAGCGGGCTTAAAGGAAATGTGATTTTTTAAAAAGAGATAATCCACCAGAGAGAAATAAATTGAAGCTATTAGATCAGAAGAAGGGTGAGGTTTGGGGGCAGTGACAGTTGCAAGGTGCTGGAGTCCATAAAAACTTGAGTGTCAAATATTGGAAGAGGGTCTCTCTTTCTGATTTAAAAAGAAAATAAAATTCTCCTAAAATCTGTCTAGGTCTAGCGTCTTCTCTAAGATAACATGGTTACTTTCACCAAGAGTTCCCATTGTTTTCATTTAACAATCCATTTTTCCTTATTAGTCAGAATTAGATTCAGATAAAGAAAAAGATCACATTGTGAGAAATATAATTCCCAAGGATTATAACAACATGTCTACTCTTTCATTTCAAGGATTGGCTTTGACATCAAATGAGTGAAATGATAGTCTCCCTCAAAAATGTTGTTTTTATTTAGCTAAAAATAGGACGAATGCCATCTATATGGAGAGAGATGAAACTGCAGTTATTTTCAAATTGCTAAATAAAATTTTTCCCCTCAAATCTGAGCCTAGATGACCATTTTGGAACTCTGCAAGGAACATAAACATGAAACATTCCAATTTCTCTATTTCCTAGAATACAAAATTATTTGGTGATGGCTTTTTTTTCCTACACTTGATTTCTGGGTTATTTTCCAAGGTTTAGTCCTGCCAGTCTTCCTAAAATATTTGTTTTCTGAATGCTTAAACTCAATCCCAGCTGAAAGGCCCTGACAGAAATCCCTCATTGTAGTAAAGAGTTGGTGGTGGAAACTACTTTAAAATGCAGAGACGCTGGGTGCAGTGGCTCACACCTGTAATCCTAGCACCTTGGGAGTCCATAGCGGTGGATCACTTGAGGCCAGGAGTTCGAGACCAGCCTGAGCAACATGGTGAAACCCCATCTCTACTAAAAATACAAAAATTAGTTGGGCATGGTGGCGCATGCCTGTAATCCCAGCTACTTGGGAGGCTGAGGCACGAAAATTGCTTGAACCGGGGAGGCAGAGGTTGCAGTGAGCCAAGATCATGCCACTGCACTTCAGCCTGGGCGACAGAGCAAGTCTCTGTCTTAATAATAATAATAATAATGTAGTGACATGTTACCTTTATTAATTTTCTTATCTGTAGGCCATAAATTGTATTCTGATGGATAAACTGAGCCTGGGAAAAAGCACTCAGAAATGCAATGGAAGAGTTATCGCTACAGGGATTGGCTCAGCCATGACACATTTGTAAAGAAGGAAGAACTTCTAACCTCAGTAATGTTTCAGCACAGGAAGCCTTCTTGCCAGATCTCACTTTCATCAGTTAGAAGTAAGCTCGATGATGTGAATTTTGGTTGAACAATTTGTATTTATGGATTGAACACCTCTTTAGCTACAATGGAAAACTGAAAACAATTATTAGCGTTCTTTCTGTTCTTTCTACAGAAACACTGGCACAGAAGCCAGAAGTTATGCAGTCCATAAGAAATGTTACAAAGACATCCTGAACGTTGCTTTGATACAGTCATCCATGGTGCTATGTCATCATTCTGCCCTGAGCCACTGTGAGTCATTCTTTGCCTTGGTGCTCACACTGAATTCACAGAAATTCAAGACAAAATTCCTCCATATCACCTTAGGAAAATTGAATCATTTATTTTTTGCTGTGTTAATATTCCCTTATTATTCAATTTTCCTGACACATACAATGTTCATTTTAAATAGTAGTAGATTTATTTACAGCAGAAACACAGAGAAGTGATTTGGCATAGTGATTAAGAGCACATACTCAAGGGGCCACGCTGCCTAAACCTGAATCTTTGGCACTTACTACTAGTTCAATAAGCTTTTATCTATGCCTCAGTATTCTCATAAGTAAAATGGGAATAATAACAGCCTGCATAGGACTACGGTGGGAATGAAATTAATTCATTCCCATAAAGTGCTTAGAACAGTGGGCATATTCAACATCCTCAGTAAATGTTTAGCCATTCTTATTAGCTCTCATTTTAAATTAACAAAATGATTCACATTATACCATTTGAATCTGAATATTGACTACAATATTAGGAAATGTGATAGTACCCGAGGACATTCTCAAGGGCTAAATAAGCACTAACATATCACAGAGAACCAAGAAAGGTTCAAGTCTAAGGTGCAGGAACAAGACCTTGGGCTGCAGCCATGGATGTACCCTCAACTAGCTGTGTGACGTGGGGCCTTGCTTTCTTGTCTGTAATGAATTCTAGCCTTGAGCAAGCTATCATTCCTTGAATTCAATTTTTTTGTTCGGTCAGCTGAGTACACAATTTATACAAATCTGAACAGAATATAAGTATCTATCAAAGTTTTCATCAAGTTAAAAAAAATGGAAAATAACATGGAGATCCCAAAGTCCACAGTATGAGTTTGAGTGGTCCTGTCCCATTAACACATTTCCTTATGTGAACACTTTAATGAGAGCTCCGCTAAATAAGGCAGAGAAAAGTTCAAGAGCCTTTCTAGGACTGTTATACCATGCATGGTACTGGAATATCGCTGACTTCCGTGCTGTGGCTGACCAGAAGTGGGACTCCTGGCCTATGACTCTATTTCTATTCTGGATATTCTTATATTAATAATGTGACATCCCACAAATCACTTTTTAGGAAAAAACAGAATTGGTGGTACATCATTTGAAATACAATTAAAATAATGACAATTTCTAAGATTACTGGACTTTTGTAAAACCTGTTTCACCTGAGATGACTAAAATAAAAACTCATAAAAAATAATGAAATGGTGTTATACACACTGATTTATTTTAAAACTTAATAGGAAATCACAAAGTATTTAATAAAAATAGTTTTAAATACATTTTTAAAGTCTAAAGGAAAGTCTCTATTTATAATCCTCCCACCTCCGCCTCCCAAGTAGCTGGGACTATAGGCACATGCTACTACACCTGGCTTAAAGGTGCAGTTTTAATGGCAGATTTCAGACTCCTTAAGCTACATGATGGCTAATAGTCAGCTTAAGGACTTAAAAAATGTACATTTATAAAACATTGAGGGAATTCACCAAAATGTTTTATAAACATTATAAACAAACATCTACTATATAACGTGGGAGAAAGTTTCATGATCTATTTAGAAAGGTTTAAATCCTGTATTTTATATTATTTTATAAAGTTACTATTACTATGAAATTTGCATTATACATTCTGTGTCACCCTTATATATCACCTTCACTAATATCAAGGACAAGCTTGTAAAATATATGTATTACACTATATACATACATACACAGACATAGTACTTCTTTCCCCTTGCATAATGCCTCTTCATAAGAACATATGTGGTCTCAGGAACAATCAGAGCATGGCAAAATGCTGCCTTAATTGTTTAATTAAATGTTGTGTGTCCACATGGTCTGGAAATGCTGCTTCAGACTTCTGCGCAGCAACATAGCTTCTCTGCAGATCTCCAATCTGCAAAAAATACAAGAATAAGACCATAGAATGAGATCAGAAAAAATGAGTAAGGAAGCAAAAAAGAAAATAAGACATAGTATCTGCATGCTGTAGAAATTCAAAGGGTTCTTTTTTTTTTTTTTAACAAGCCCACAACCGACGTCACAACTCAAAGGATTCTTAAAGGCAAATTGCTTAATTGTGCTACTTTGATTTTAGAATTCTAGATTATAATTCAATCTTGAAAAGTATGTGAGAAAGATAAAATAACCAATTATATAAATAATTTACAGCTGTCTGGTAATGAATTTAGAAACCTATGTTTTCTTTTCCTGTCACTGATGATAGTATTATAAATGTAAAATGACATTTGCATGCTGAAACAGCCAGCTCTAGATAGCTCAGAAAACTTAGAGAAAACTATCTGTAAGGTACCACAAACAAAAACATATTTTTATTAGAGTTGTTACCTTTTAGACAGAAAATTTAAGCAAAAACTCCTGTATTTAAGGCATAATAACATGTTTTCAGAGGTTTTAAGTGGTGCTGGCACAATAACGTTGGGAAAATATCTGGTTTTAAAAGTTTATAAAGCATGTCTCTGCTTTTCAATGAACTTGATATTAATTCCCAAAGAAAAACACACATACTGTCTGAATGTATCCTTTTCATTGATACATAATAACTTATATTTACGAGGTACATGCAATATTTTGATACAAGCATACAAGGTATAATGATCAAATCAGGGTAACTGGGGTATTCGTCACCTCAAACATTTATAATTTCTTTGTGTTGGGAATATTCCAAATCTTCTAGCTATTTTGGAATATACAATAAATTATTAATTATAGTCTGAGTATATCTTGATTCATGGATACGTTCTAAAAAGGAAGGGCTTTTTGGTGTATATACTCAAAAAATCTAGATAAATTCTGGTAGATTTCTGGTAACAACATATATGTATAGAAACAGAAATTAAGTTTCCTTTTTCAAATCATAACACGTCTTTTTAATACACTGTTTTCTGTTATGGAAGTGTAGCCTTTTGCTTAAAGAAGATATCTCATTTGAGTTATGTATTATTAAAATGTGGTGCTATTCCTGAAGGTAAGCCAGCCCTCTTAGGGGTTTAACTAACTAAGCAGTAGCACAGTGCAGTGGGAAACACATGCACATCATTGGGATCTGGGTGTGAATCTGAAATCTACCACTGCCATGGGACGCAGAAGTCTTTCATCCCCTTTAAGCCTTGGGTTCCATTAGAAATTAAGCTGCTTGAGGTACAGGTTTTTGTCTTTTACTCATCATTACATCCTCTGTGCCAAAAACAGGGCCTGGTATATAGCAAAGGCTCAATAAACAGAACATCGGTCATGAAAAACATGAGTGAGGAAGGCGGGGTAGTTGGGAGAATTAGGGAAAGTATGTAAAGCACCCAGAACAGTGGCTGGTACTTACAGGTGCTCAATAATTACAACTCATGAATGACAGCTTATTTTATTTTCAATACAGAAATGACAATGTAGATGACTTCATATTTATGCTATGAAAAATAACATCTTTATAAATATCTTACGGTCTATCAAGACCCTAATTTACATCACAAATATTTTTAGCCATTTCCTTATTCTCAAAACAGACTCACCTTCCAAGTACAAGCTAGTTATTAGATGTCTTTTGCTTGTTTTCTTATTGTTAAAAATGGCATGTGGTTCCCTTTAGCTTTTGGATACTGACTTGCAATACAGTATTCAGTTTCATTTCCCCCATATTCTTCATAGCTAAGATAGCTTTCACATTAGAATATCACTAATTTTACAGCAATGGTACCAGGAACTTGGTGGCAATACGATCTACTAATAATACACAGGATTTGTTGCTGTAAAAGCCAATAGCTAAATACTTCCCATACCAGGAGTTATTAAATGAGAATTTCTTCAATGACTAAATGCCGTATTTCAAAACATAAAATAATTCTATAATCTATAATGGAGTTTAGTCAATATTCAGCAATAAATTAAAAGTTTTAAAAACTGTCCCTTGAAGTAAAGCTGTATAAATATATATAGTAATTAAGAGTTTTAAAAAGTCATTTCTTTCAGGAAGATGAGGTTAGAATTTCCTTATTTCTCTGTACATTTTTTAAAACCAAGAAAACAAAAAAGAAGAAATCAGATGAAAAATTAATAAAGAAAGAATACCTTATCAGAGATTGTTGCAAAATTAAAATGCGGTTCATACATATGGGGTGCTAGAGATGATGCAGTTTGTAATAGTGCCCTTGCCTGTGTGTAAAAATAAAGAAAAGAAAAACCAAAGACGTATGAACATATATCAGCACTATATTTGTGATTTTTTTTTTTTTTGGTAAAATAATTCTTTACCTATGACAGGACTTAATAACATGAGCCTGTGGTAAATACAGACAACATTCCTCATGAAATACAATTAACCACTGATACCTTGCCAAAATTATGTTAATAATAAATGCTTCACAAGACACAGAAAATAAGAGAACTGAAAATTCAGAGTACATTTAAAGTTATCTGGGAACCAATGTTCTCATAAAGTTTATATTTCAATATGACATACAATTTGAAATACAATCTTCTCAATACTACAACTTTCTTCTTAATCTAGTTTTTACTGCTGTTGATTGACTAAGCAGGCTCTAATTACCTAACAACCAAAAAAACATTGTAAATTTCAAAGCCCAAAATTCTGTGCTGGATGACAGAGAGCAACTATTTAATATAGTGCTGATCAGTTTTGTTAGTGAGACAGCAATTGAATATGACAAGCTTTCCGTTCTCTAAGACACTCAAAATATAACATTCACATTTTTTTTTTTTGCGATCATAGGATCATATAATGCAGAGACCACTGATTAGCATGAGAGGCTTATACATTCATTAAGACCACAAATTCAACATTACAAGCTGCTAACAACCCCTCAACTTGTAGCTACATCTAAAACTTCTATCCATGACCCTGAAGACAAATGTGTATATCTTTTTAAATGGAAAACAAAGTGGTATCAGTTCATATAGAATGACAGATATAATTTTTAATCAAATGAAGTTTGTATTATGAAATCTTTCACCAAAACATTTCAAATCAATTGTATGCTAGAGAAACTACAATAAGTAGGAGGAAAAGAAAATCACCAACATGGGAACAGAGAAAAATCACAAAAATCACTTGTTTCATCATATGAATATAGGCAAAGTTCCTGACAAATATAGGCAAAGTTTCTAACAAACAAGTATCCATTTTAGAACAGCCTGTAAACTACAAATCCATCTTCCTTACTTTGGGAGAATTTATGCAATAAAAGTAACATCCAGTGACCTTTCTTTCCTTGTTGTTGTTAAAAGTTTATCATTGTGCTTAGAAGACCAGGCTAATGTACTGGCGATGCTGTTCGCCATGTCTGTGACCTTGGGCAAAGTTACCCTCCTCGAGCCTCCGTTTCTTTATCTCCGAAGTGGGGAATGGAATAATATTTGCCCTTGATTGCCACTAATATTGCATGAACATATTTAGTATTTTAAACTTTTTGTTTTACGTATATCATTATAATAATACAATTTATTAAGCATCTACCATGTGCTCCATACTATGCTTCTACTATGCCAAGTGCATGATCTAATACAAACAATCCCTTCAAGTCACTACTATTACACTCTATTTTATGTATCGTCCATTCATTCCACAAATATTGACTGAGCACCTACCATGTGGCAGGTACTGTTTCTGACGCTGGGAATATAACAGTTACATGACAGATATGGTCGCTCTTTTCATGCAACTGACATTCTACATCCTATACATAAATATGAAAATATCTGATAAAGTGGTAAATACTGTGAAGAAAAAAAGTAAGAGATGTGATAGCACCCAAGGGCTCTTTTAGACTGATGGGGAAGATGACCTTTCTAAGGAGGTGGCATTTAATCTAAGACCTGAATGACAAGAAAGAAATTTGTCATTGTAAGATCTTAAGGAAGAACACTCCAAAGGCCCTAAAGGAAGACAGAGCACTGCCTGTCTGCAGAGCAGCAAGGTAGCGACGTGTCTGCAAGTCAGTGGGAAAGAAGTAGTGGCAAAAGATGCGGTCTGAGAGGGAGCCAGAGGCCAGGTCACCGGGGGCCTCAGGCCATAGACATGGTTTCAAGTCCAGATTTTATTCCAAGTTCAAGGAGAAGGCACTAGAGGATTTTAAGCAAAGTAGTATTAAACAGTCTTCATTTAAAAAAAAAATCTCTCAGGCTGTTCTGAGAAGAGTGTATCATAGAGTGCACTTACTTGCTGATGTAGGTGGAAACAAAAACACCAGCTAGGAGGCTCTCATAGTAGTCCACACAAGACATAACAGCAGTCTGAAGAAGGGTTGTGGGAATGCAGAAAGGTGGCCAGGCTCAGAATGTGATGGGACTCTGAGGTCAGAATGACAGGACTTGCTGAATATGATGTGGGCACAGGTGTGGCAGGGGGAAGCAATAAAAAAAGAGAGGTTTCAGGGTTGGCTCCAAGGATTTTGGCTTGAGTGGTTACGTAGTAGACAGGGGATGGCGACTGGTAGAACAGTTCACTAAGATGGGGAAGACTGGGGAGGCGCAGATTTGTCCTAATAAAATCAAACATTCTATTTTGGACTCAGAATGGTTAAGTAACTTGTCCCAAGGTCACACAGCTAATACACAACAGAGCTGGGATTCAAATCCACGCCTGTCAGATTCTAGAGCTCATTTTAAAATAACATACGCTGTAACGCTACCACACATGACGGCTTTTCTCTGAAGAAAGCAGACTGCCCAGCGAGCTGCTGCCAGTTCACTGACCTGTTCAACGTGGCCCTTCCGCATCTCCAGCACAGCCAGGTTGTTGTAGGCCTCGGCGTGGTTGTTGTTGTTGACCAGAGCCAGCCTGAAGCACTGATGGGCCAAACTGGTATCTCCTATTCCCTACAAAAGAAAGTCCATGTTCACACCCATGGGTCCATTTACTTCCTCCTCCCTTGTTTCCTCATAGATATCTCTTCTGCTACCAGACAGAAAGCATCAAGTGCCATACAATTATAGAAGTCAACGTGAATTCTATATAAGTGGATTTAACCCGAGAATATAAAATAAGCCACAATGACTCCTAGAAACTTCTAAATTTCCCCATAAGACTACAACCAATCTGGATTTAGGATAATTCCTGAATATTTCTTCAAACTAATTTTTTTGTTTGTTTTGAGACAGGGTCTCACACTTTGTCACCCAGGCTGGAGTGCAATGCTACGATCATAGCTCACTGCAGCCTTGACCTTCTAGGCCCAAGTGATCTTCCTGCCTCAGCCCTCAGAGTAGCTGGGATTACAGATGTGACTACCACACCCAGCTAATTTTTTAATGTTTTGTAGAGACAGAGTCCCACTTGTTGCCCAGGGTGGTCTCGAACTCCTGGGCTTAAGCAATCCTCCTGCTTCAGCCTCCCAAAATGCTGGAAATACAGGCATGAGCCACTGTGTCTGGCTCAAACCAACTTTCTATAACAGAAATTATATCAGAAAGACAACATACCACAGCTACATGTCCCAAGTTGTACCAGACATCAGCTGCCTCTTCTTCATTTTCAGCCAAAGAAAGGGCACGTTCAAATGAGGTCAGAGTCATATCATACTGCTGGGCATAGAAGCAACACAGCCCCAGATTGTTAAAAAGCTGGCCGTTATAAATGCCCATCTGCAGCAGTCGCCTTTTCAAAAAAGAACACAAATTTTGGTGTCAGACCAACTTTGTAAGTTTTAAGACACATATATATATATATATTTTTTTTACATAGTTAAAAATGAATTCATCTTGTGATTTTTGATACTCCTTAAGATTATAAATACAACGTGTTATAGTAAATGAAAAAATGTTTAAAGCAAATACAAATAGCTCTCTTTTATAATGGTACTAGTCACAGGGAATGTGTCTAGAGACAAAGAAAAACAACTGATCTAAGTTTTCTCCCCAAATGCTTTGTTAGAGAACCAAAATAAGAAATAGTCACAAAAAGTAAAGCCCACACACTTCAGCTTTATAAAGCTTTGCTGCCCATAGGGTAAATTCCTAAAACTCAGTCTGAGGACTGTGTTTAGCATTAACCTCTACATTTTCAGCTGAGTTGGAACCCGTTTTTGGCTCTCTGTACTTTGTGCTTCAGCTGTGTCTACTGAACTCCAACAAGCTTCCACTGAGGAAGACAAAACCATCAGTGGATCCTCACATTATCCACTTAGCTTTCACACTGCAGCTCAAGAGCCCCATTTGCTTCTATGCATCATTAATCCCGTGAGACAAAGGACAAGAGAGTTCATATAAGCAAATGAAAATCCAGCCCAGCTGCTGTGAGAAACCTATGACCCACTTTGGGGGCTGGGGAGTAGAGTCAGTTGCAGGTGCACAGAATAGCATTCTTATTATTACATTTTATGCCTCCAACACATATTTGGAAAGAACCCTTGTCAGCTGCCAGTCATCTCTTTGTATATTACCCAAGGGCTAAAGAAGAAATCAAAATTTAAAAATTAATTTCAGAAGTCATATGTAGAATGAAATAAATACTTAAAGAAGAATCAGTGAATATAATTTATTTAGACTGAAAAAATATTTGGACAAGAATTGACAATGCTGCCCAAAACAGGTGATTCTGTTTCAGGTCCTCATCAAGGTTCAGAACATGGGGCCAAATGCTCTTTGCAAATCTTTTCACCTTTCAATTTTAGTGTCTTTATCTTCACTGGTATTAACGGAGGCAGTGATGATTATAAGTTTTAAGTAACTATTAAACTGTTACTGGTTGATGACAAAATGGCTAACGCATACAATGACAATGGGATTTAAAACTCAGTCAGTTGTCCAGCGTGTTTCTGCAAGATGCCAGACATCTGCATGTTTCCAAATTATTGGATGTCACTTTAATGCTCATAATACATCTTGGTGTTGAAATTTTAGTTTCATAAAGACATAGCCTATATCTTATTTTCTCTATACTTTCATTTCATCTTTGTTACTATTTTATCAATATTTCATAGGAAAGTAGTTCTACGAATTGGATGTGAAGTGCACCTGTAAAACCGGAGAGCTATTTCTGGCTGATCAGAATAGAAGTGGTTGCTTCCAATGCATGCGATGGCTTCCACATGAGTATTGTCTTGTTTCAAAACTTCTTTGTAGTATTCGGCTGCTGATGACATATTGTTCATTTCCTATTCTCCGTCAAGAAAGAAGAGCAATATTTTATTAATACTGGACAAGAAATTATTTTTTTCTGACTGATTTAAGTCCATTCATTAAATAAGTATTTACTGAGAGGCTACCATGTGCCAGACTCCATTCTAGGCCCTGGGGATACATTATGAACAAAAAGAGAAAGTCGCTCTCCTCAAGGAGGTGACATCTGGTATGAAAGGCAAACAAATATGTAATAGAAGGTTAAGTGCTGGGAAGAAAAACGGAGCAGGATAAGGAGAGAGAGAGAACAGGGAGGGTGTGCTTCAGAAGGGGTGATGCGAAGGGGCCACTTCGGAGAAGGTGCTATTTGAAGAGACCTGACTGAAGTGAAGGATCAAGTCCTGAGCATATCTGGGGGAAGCTCACCCTGGGCAGAGGGAAGAGCAAATGTATGAGCCTGAGAGGGGAATGTACTTGTCACATATGAAGAACCACACGAAGGTAAATGAGGCTGGAAAAAGGGAAAGTGGCGCAAAAGGCAATGAGAGGCAGCCAGGGACTTTGTCAGCCATGGTGAGAACTTCAGATTTTTTTTCTAGTTGAGAGAAATCCATCAGGAGAGGAATAACAATCATATTTGCATTTTGAAAGAATAACTTGACTGCTGCACGCTAGACATACCAAAATAGGAAAGCGTGGTAGCAGGAAGATCAAGAGTCCAGGAAAGAAAAGATGGCAACCAAGACCAAGCTTAGAAATACATACAAAATGAAAAACTAAATAAACCTTCTACAGTTATTATATATTCTTTCTAAAATACTGATAATCATAAATATATGCATCTAATGTTATCAATGAATGTTATATTTCTCAAATCTACCTTCAAGGCCCAATTCAGGCTCCACATCCTTCACAAAGATTTCCCTAATGCCTTCACTTCACATAGCTGTCTTCTACCTCTCAACTTCCATGGCGTTTATTATGTGAACTTGTTCTCATTAGAGAAGGACTCAAACTTTTTGTTAAATTTTAATCATATCAAATAAGAGACTCTACTGATTGTAAGAAGCACCACACAGTGCTTTTTTAAACAGAATTTTTATTTGATCCTTACTGATATATTTAGACATATTCGTACACAGATGGTATCACAGATCACTCTTTTGCATACTTTATATAAAGTACATATACATAAGCAAAATAAATTAAATATAGTATTCCTCTTTCACAAGAAGTATCAAATTCTTCTGAATCCCTTTTTGATTTGGTCATCAATGGCCAGGTGTTTCCACACAGTATTGTTCTATGCAATGATGACACAGCATTTCTTTATACTTGACAAACAGCAATTGTATACATTTACGGGATACAATGTGACGTCCTGAAACATGCATACATTGTGGAATGAGAAAATCAGTCTAATTAACATATATATAGCCTCACATACTTATTTTTTTGTGGTAAGAACATTTAAAATCCACTTTTAATACTTCTTAAAAGTGCTCCACTATTGTCTCCAAGATTTTCTTCCAAGTTATGGACAGTCATTCTGCTATGCTGATACCTGTGTTTTCTTGATCTTACCAGCAGGTGTCAACAAAAGCTTTCAGGCAACAATCAGTAATAATTACCAGGTTCACCATGCTCCCAAGAGTAATTACCCAAGTTTCCATATAAGCAGACTATGACAACTACATGGCAACTGCCACTTGGCCACAAAAATAGAAAGACGCTACCCATTTTAAGATGAACCTCAAGTTCAGAGATGTTAAAATGTGAAAAACAATGTGAGTCCATGAAATATGGTAAATTCCTTTAGCGCAAGATCGTATCGCGTGCCATTTCTTAGCACAAAATTTAGTGTTCTGGAAAGTGAAAACTTAATAAACAAGAATTAAACAACTCTAAAAAATGTTCTTAGCTTCCCATGTTTCCATTAGAACAGAGGTTCTCAAACATGTTGGTCTAAGATTCATTTTAAACTGTTAAAAATTGCTGAGAAGTTGTTTTGTTTACGTAAGTTATATAGATTAATACTAGAAATTGCAACTGAGATATCTTTAAACATTTACTTATTAATTCATTCTAAATAACATACATTAAACCTACTACATGGTCACATACGTAACATTTTTATGAAAAATAATAAGCTCTTCTGAGTGGAGAAAGTCTGTGATTGTACAACCATGTTTGTGACAGAGTAGATTAGTCTGTTTAACCCAGAGAGAGAAGGCCGTTAGGTCCTTTTGAGCATAGATCTAAAGCCAAAAGCTCCACTTGTGCTTTTATCTACAATCAAGCTAACGGTTTGGCCTCCATTTGTCTAAATCTTGTCTCTCTCTCTCTCGGTTGGTTCTCAATATGGAGGAACAGGGATGTAACTTATCAGTCCCATAAAACCCTAATAAAACATTCACCAGTTGACCCAAATCTATGCTTTATAGATATTTCTTCATGTGCTTTATATTTGAAATTCTTTTTCAAAGCCAACAGCATCCCACAGTGCTAGGCTTCAGTGCTACAGCTTCCAAAGGTGGCAATGCCCAATGCAAAGAAGGCTCAAGCCTCAATAAGCCAGTTGGTTCAAGACTTTGGGTTCTATAAAATTACTTTTGAATACTTGTATACTTAATTAATGGACACAGAAATTGATTTATGTAATCTCGAGGAATTTTAGACTGAAACACCTATTGTACGGACAACCTCATATGTAGTTTTTCAATTAAGTTTTATAAACTTATAAAAATGTGCTTATGCTAAATAAATGTAAACCTTACAAAAGGGTACAAAATTAAAAGTAAATGCCCTGTCCCCAAGTTCCAGTAGGCAGAGGCTCTGTTAATAGTTTTTTTAGTATTGTTCAGGAAATTTTGTTCATACTTAAGCATATACATGGGTGTGCATATTTTAACCATAAACAGAATCATTCTATACATTTCAATATACAGTTTTTTTCACTCAGTGTCTTGACTCTTTCCATATCAAAACCAAAAGCTTTACTTCATATTTTTAAATAATACTTCTGCATAGTGTTCCGTCAATAGAGATCATAATTTATTAAACCAGTCCTTTTTTGATTAAGCATATGTTTCCTTTTTTAAACCAAAAAACATACTATAAAAACATCTTTCTACAGGTCTTTGTGCACTTGTATGAAAATAGCCTTAAGGAAAATTCCTAGAAGTAATACTGCCAGGTCAAAGAGCATGCACATTTTAAAATATCATCAATAACTGCAAAAAGCTTCCAAATGTTCATACATGGAGCTTGTTTCTCTACACCCTTGGCAACCCTAGATAACATAGAACTAAGATCTTTGCTAATCTGATTGAGTGAAAAATGGCTTATCACAGTTGTTTTAGCTTTTTATATCTTTAATTATGAGAGGTTAGGCATTTAACACATCAGATATTCTTTATATTTCTCTTTCTGTGAGCTGCCAATTCCTATCTTTTGTCTGTTCTTCTATCCTATCCTATCTTTTGTCCTTCCACTATTGTGTGTGTGGGAGTCTTGCGTGGAACACTGCCCTCCGGGACACAGGAGAGCTGGAGGCTGAGGTGTGGCTCAAGAATCCCTGGGCATTGACTGTGTTCTATTCCAGATGAAAAGAGCCTGTGTTGATGTTGACCATAATTCAAAAACACAGGAAGGCTCACTGTTTATAAACATTCTCTTCAGAGGAAAAGTTTAGATGGCTTAATTAAGTTCTTCCAAATAGGTGTCACCAAGCCCTAAGTACTAAACGGGGGCGGTTTAGTCAACGCAGCTGGAACTTGGTTGTTGTCTCATCTCTGTGGTGATCTTACTTTCATGGAGAGGGTGAATGGCCACTGTGTAGGCTGAAAGGAAACAAGAGCCTAAGGAAAAACCACACCATGACATGGAAATACCTCATTTCCATGTTTACATTCTTGACTAAATAGATGAGAATTTGTGTGTGTGTTTAAATCTCCCAATTTTAGCAATTTTTAAGCAATGTGTAGTTTGAGGAAATCAAAAGCAGTCTTTTGTCTGTCCCAGGTATGCCAACTATTTTCCCTGATTGGTATTTTTACCTTTTGTTTTGTTGTATATGGATTTGGTTTCTATCTTTTGTTTTTGCCATATAGAAAATTTAACTTTTACATTCTCAAATTTATCAATCTTTGCCATTATGGCTTTCTAACTTTGTGTCATGATTAGAAAAATCTTCCTCATTCCAATTTATACAAATAATTCATCTGTGTTTACTTCTGGAACTTTCAGGGTTTCATTTTTTGAAGTTTTAAATCTTTAAAGTTTTAAATCTGGCAGTAATGAATAGTATAAATCATTACTCAACCAGCTCTATTTTTAAACTATTTATTAAATAACCAAGTAATGCAATCGGCTTAATAGGCCATCTTTATCACATCTTAAATTTTCATATATATGAACACACATTGATTCTATATTGTTTCTTTATTTTTTTGTTTTTTTGAGACGGAGTCTCACTCTGTCGCCCAGGCTGGAGTGCAGTGGCACAATCTCGGCTCACTGCCAGCTCCACCTCCTGGGTTCACATCATTCTCCTGCCTCAGCCTCCCGTGTAGCTGGGACTACAGGCGCCCGCCACCACGCCCAGCTAATTTTTTGTATTTTTAGTAGAGACGGGGTTTCACTGTGTTAGCCAGGATGGTCTCGATCTCCTGACCTCGTGATCCGCCCTCCTCGGCCTCCCAAAGTGCTGGGATTACAGGTGTGAGCCACCACAGCCGGTCTATTTTGTTTCTTTATTCCTTTATCAGATTTGTTTAAATTTTACTAGTTCTAGAATAGATTTTATTAATGTAGACTTAAAATAACATTTTCAAGTATATAAATGCCACTTCAAGAATATAATAAATTTGGTATCAAGCGATTTTTACAGCGGTTATTTTTTATCCAATTCACAAACTGTAGATACAAAATCTATAATTAGATTCTTAAATTATTATTATTATTATTTTTGAGATGGAGTTTCCCTCTTGTTGCCCAGAATGGAGTGCAATGGCGCGATCTTGGCTCACTGCAACCTCCACTTCCTGGGTTCAAGCAATTCTCCTGCCTCAGTCTCCCAAGTAGCTGGGATTACAGGCATGTACCACCAAGCCAGGCTAATTTTGTAATTTTAGCAGAGACAAGGTTTCTCCATTTTGGTCAGGTTGGTCTCGAACTCCCGACCTCAGGTGATCCACCCACCTCAGCCTCCCAAAGTGCTGGGATTAAAATAAAATTAAATAACTGCAAAAAATGAATGCTGCAGTAGTTTTCAAATCTTGTTTTGCATCAGAATCAATCACCTAGTGAGCTTGCTAAAAATCCAGATGCCTGAGTCCCAGCTTCCAGGACTTCTGATTCAGAGGAAGAGGATGGGTCATGCTTCCCATCCACTCCCAAGGTCATTTCATACACAGTAAGGTTTGAAGACCCCTAGAATAACATTTGCAGGGTAAGGTTATGCAATTGCCTTATGCCTTATAATTGCAAATGCCTTTCAACAAAGAACGGCTAAAATTAAGATCTGTCTTTCAAATGAATAAACAAAATACCTCAAGAAAAACTGAAACAACCAACAAAGAAATCTGGCAAGGATAAATCATTTTAAACAAACAATGAAAAATAAGCAGTTCAACATATTCATCCTAAAACAGACAATATTTAAAAGATATTTGCAACAATGAAAGATACATAAAAAGAAGAGAACATAGAGGAATGGAATCCCTCCAGCCAGGGACAAGCATGATGTATATAACAAAAGCCCTACAGGCATACACAGTGCAGGCTGCAATGCTAAAACCAATTTACTGATTAACTGAACATCTATTGTCACATAAAGAGAAAAAGAATACACTGGAAATCTGACTCTGGTGTGCTAAACTTTGACATAAGGGAAATTAACTATGCAAATTCAAGGCAAAAGACTGAAATACTGCCACCAACTATTTCAAGTCTGTGCTTAGTCTTTGATCACTCTATTTGTGCATGATTTTCCCTACAACTGAGAGGCTTTCCTCTCCACTCCCTTCTTCCTTCAAGTGTACAGTCAACTTAGAGCAGGGAAAGGTTGAGAAAAGGAATCCACTCCAGAGCTACTCCATATCACAGCCACAGCAACAGTGACTGTAACAGAGGCTTGGAAGGAATTCTTCTGACCAGCAACCATGCAATAAAGATGGGATAGTTCTCTAGCTCTTTCTGCTAGCACTTCCTGCCTAAGAAGAGAAGGGCAAAAGGGCAGAAATGAGCAGAAGGCAAGGGCCTAAAGGTCAGAGCTCCAATTGCACTGGCATAGTCACCACCAGAACAAGCATGAATTCCACTGGTTTAGCTTGTTGGTCAACGTTTTATTCATACTCTAAATTTAGAGTCCAGAGTATTTTTATTGATTTATCAAAGTCTTCTATTTATACATTTATAAAAATTACATTTCAAAAGGAAATCATAGTTTTTCTTGACAACGTTAAAATACTTTTATTTAAAAAGTAATGCATGTTTATTATGGAAAATCTGGAAAATACAGAAAGTATAAAAAAATCATTCATACACTATCACCTAGGTATAGCAGCTATTAATATATTCCATTCTTTTCTAAGAAAATGATTTCAAAATATCATACCTAGCATTTTCAAGGAATTTCAAGGAAACAGAGATGTGTCTGTTCAAAGATATATTAGAAGTCCTAAGCAATAAGACACATTTTTAAAATCGTAAAATAAGTGAAGGGAAGAGATGAAACTACCTGTATTTGCAAATGATGATTGTTTTATTTACTTAGAATATCCAAGAGGACCTATGAACAAGATCTTAAAATTTAAAGAGTTGCTAGTATCAAAAAAATGTTTCAAAAGTAATACATTCCTATCCACCAGAAATAATCAAATAGAAAATACAAGAGAGAAAAAAAATAAGGATTCCATTCAAAGTTATACCTAGAAATACACCTGCATAGAAAAAAGTTAACATAGCAGGCCTGAGACCACTATTCTTAGAAAGGCCTGTATCTGGGAATTTGACTGGTTCTCTACATTGATATGAAACTTTCCCCAAATCATAAGCGTAGCTTGCTACACCTAACCTGTTTGCATAAACAGTGTGGTTTGTGCTGAATGCCTGTTTACTTCTGGGAGTATTTGCTGTGTGATAAACAGTGTGTGATTATATGACCAGCATCCAATAGTAACCATGGATACAGAGTCTCTAATGAGCTTCCCTGGTAGACATCACTTCTCATGAGTTGTCACAACTCGCTGCTGGAAGAATTAAGTGTGTCCTGTGTAACTCCACCGGGAGGGAGCTCTTGGAAGCTTGTACCTGGTTTCCTCTGAACTTTACCCCAAGAGCTGTTTCCTTTTACTAATTTTACTTTGTATCCTTTTGCTGAAATAAATCTGAGTCCTGTCAGTCCAGAAAATCAATGAAAGCGTGGTCTGGGGGACCCCCAACACACCATCTTTCTGGAGATAATTACAAAATATTCACTGAAGAACAAAAAAAGACCTAAGTAAATGGAGAGTTATATCATGATTGAGAATGGGAAGAAAGGCAGCCCACTCACCCACTCCCCATCATTCATACACTCAATGTAATTCCAATCAACACGCCTCCAGGGATTTGTATGGTTCTTGATAGGCCAATCCTACAATCACTATGGAAGAGCAAAGGACCAGGAAAACCAACTGTAAACAAGAAGAACAAGGTGGTAGGATTTGCCCAACCTGATATCATGAATTATTGTAAAACTATAGTAATTAGACAGCAGTGAAGAAATCTCAATGGTACTTTTCATGGAATTTGATGACATGACTAAAATTTATAAGCATGAAGCCAGGAGTTCGAGACCAGCCTGATCAACAAAGTAAGACCTCATTTCTGCAAAAAGTAAAAAAAAAAAAAAATTAGCTAGACATGGGGGCACAAGCCTGTAGTCCCAGCTACCCAGGAGGCTGACATAGGAGGATCACTGGAGCCTAGGAATTTGGAGGCTGCAGTCAGTTATGATTACGCCACTGTGATCTAGCCCAGGCAACAGAGTGAGAACCCATCTCTAAATATATATATATATATATATATATATATAGAGAGAGAGAGAGAGAGAGAGAGAGAGAGAGAGAGAGAGAGAGAGAAAGAGAAAGAGAAAGAGAGAGTATGTAATGTAATGTCAGTATCAATTTTTGTCCATTTGTGGTAGATACATTTTGGGGCTTTCTATTCTGTTCCATTGGACTGTTTGTCCATTCTTATACCAATGTTATAGCAATGCAAGAATCACCTAATACACCATCTAAGAAGGGATTAATTACCAGAATATAGAACTCAAATAACTCAACAAGAAAACAAGCAATCCAATTTAAATATGGACAAAAGACTTGAATAGACATTTCTCAAAAGAAGACATACAAATGGCCACAGGGTATATGAAAACATGCTCAACATCACTAATCATCAGGGAAATGTAAATCAAAACCACAATGAAATATCATCTCACCTCAGTTAGAAGGGCTATCATCAAAAAGACAAAAAATAACTAATGCTGGCAAGGATGTGAAGGCAGGGGAATGAATGCCCGTACGCCGTTGATGGGAATGCAAAGTAGTATAGTTGTTATGGAAAACAGTATGGAGTTTCCACAAAAAACTCAAAATAGACCTACCATATGATCCAGCAATCCCACTGATGAATATATATCCAAAAGAAAGGAAGTCTGTATATCAAAGAGATATCCCATGTTTATTGCAGCACTATTCACAATAGCCAAGATGTGGAATCAACCTGAGTGCCCATCAGTGGATGAATGGAAAGAAAATGTGGTATATAGACACAATAAAGTAATATTGAGCCATAAAAAAGGGTAAAATCCTGTCATTTGCAGGAACATGAATGGAATTGGAAGTCATTATGTTAAGTGAAATAAGCCAGGCACAGAAAGAAAAGTGCCACATGTTCTCACTCATGCAGTAGCTAAAAAAGTGAATCTCATGGAGGTAAAAAGTAAAATTATGGTTACCAGAGGCTAGGAAGGGTGTGGGGAGGATGAAGGGAAGTTGGTTAAGGGGTACAAAAATATTTAGACAGAAAGAATAAGTTCTACTATTTGATAGTACAGTAGGGAAATTATGGTTAACAATAATTTACCTTATATTTCAAAATAGCTAGAAAAGAAGAATTGTAATGTTCCCAACACAAAGAAAAGATAAATGTTTGAGGTGACAGATAACTCAATTACCCTGATTTGATCATTACACATTGTATACAGGAATTAAAATATACATGTACCACAAAAATATGTACAACTATGGTGTATCAATACAAAAAAAATAATAACATGAATTACCTCATAGATTCTTGCAATTCCACAGAGCAGGGTTACTTCTCCTGGAAACTTATCTAAGCCTTGTTTGAAAAGATTTAAAGCAGTCACAGGTTGATCCAATGAGACATAAACCTAAAAACAAGATACATTTCAATAAAAGTATAGATTCTTAAAATAATATTTGTTATGACATTTATAATTATTGATTAGTAACAAATTATCTCCTAGATACTACAGTAAAGAATTTTCAGTCGGGCATGGTGGCTCACACCTGTAATCCCAGCATTTTAAGAGGCTGAGGTGGTTGGATTGCTTGAGAACAGAAGAAGTTCAAGACCAGCCTGGGCAACACGGTGAAACCCCATCTCTACAAAAAATACAAAAATTAGCCGGGCATGTTGGTGTGTTCCTGTAGTCCCAGCTATTTGGAGGCGGAGATGGGAGGATCACTAGAGCCTGGGAGGTCAAGGCTGCAGTGAGTCATGATTGCACCACTGCACTCCAGCCTGGGTAACAGAGTGAAATCCTGTCTTTAAAAAGAAAAGCAGCAGAAGCAGAAGCAGAAGAAGAAGAAGGAGAAGAAGAAGAAGAATGAATTTTCAAAAATGTGCAGCATTAATTTTCAATAATGATGTTATAGTTTTATCTCCACATGTTATATATAAAGCATTCATTCATTTATTCTCTAACAAATGCTTACTGTGAGCTTACTATGCCAGAGACTGGCAATAGTAACTAAACAAGAAAGAATCGAGGGAAAACCTTTTTAGGATAGAACAGACATGAGTATGCTATAGGCTGGCATTAAGAAACCAATTAGGAGACTGAGGTTAAAGATGCTGAATAAAGAGGAGACGACCCATGGAACAAGGCCTGAGAGAGACAGGCAGTGGACAGGCCCCTCCAAAACAAGAGAGGACACAGGTTCATGAGGTCAGGGAGTTAAGCAAGTTAGCACATAATGGCTTCCACTTCATTAGCAATTAGAACATTAGCAGGAATAAACCATATACTTAATAGGAATTTCTAAAACAGTATTACTATTTTACGTAAGACAACATAAGATTATGACACTTTTTTCATGATTTTCGGATCCACTTTCTAAACAGTAAGAGTGTGTTTTGAGAAAAAATCCAAAGGGATGCAACAGAAAACTAAAGTATTTATCATTAAAGTTTGAGATTAGAGAGAGAGGTATGGATAATAACTTTTCAGTTTTTACTTATACACTTTTGAACTGTACAAGTTCTATACTTTAAAAATATAACAAATAATATATAATTAGTATTTACATAATCTAAAAAGTTTAATTTTTAAATTAACAATTAAGAACTTTAAAAAACAATATTCTTAAAATCTGCTTGATCTCTTTCCTTTGTGTATATATATAACATATGTAAATATATATTATATAAAAATATTTATATTATATTACTATATAATAGTATACATTATAATAAACATTATATATAGTTATAATATATATTTATATTATATTATATATTTATTATATTATATATTACATATTTATACTATATGATTATATATGTATATTATTTTTATATATTTATAATTATATAATTTTATATATTTTTATATAAATTAAATATATTGTATTAATATATAAAAATATATACACACACATATATACACATTTCTTTTTTAAAGAGATGGGTCTCACTATGTTGCCCAGGCTGGTCTCAAACTCCAGGACTCAAGCAATGCTCCAGCCTCAGCCTCACAAAGTGCAGGGATTATAGGCACAAGTCACCATGCCAGAGCTCTTTCACTTTTTAACTTTTAATTTCAGGGTACATGTGCAGGTTTGTTATATAGGTAAACTCATATCATGGGGAGTTTGTTGTACAGATTATTTCATCACCCAGGAATTAAGCCTAATACTCAGTCATTTTTTCTGCTCCTCTCCCTCCTTACACCCTCTCAGAGGCCCCAGTGTCTGTTGCTCCCCTCTATGTGTCCATGTGTTCTCATCAGTTAGCTCCCACTTATAAGTGAGAACATGAGGTATTTGGTTTTCTGTTCCTGCGTTAGCTTGCTGAGGATAATGGCCTCCAGCTCCATCCATGTTCCTTCAAAGGACATGCTCTCATTCTTTTTTATGGCTGCATAGTACTCCAGTGTATATGTACCACATTTTCGTTATCCAGTCTGTCATTGATGGGCATTTAAGTTAATTCTATGTCTTTGCTATTGCGAATAGTGCTGCAATGAACATACGCGTGCATGTGTCATTGTGACAAAACTAAAATCTGCTTGATCTCTATTACATAATAACCATCCATTCATACATTAAAGAAAAACTGTATATTTTACCTTTATATAGTTGTGTAGGGAATAATAGATTTAAACAAATCAATTTATGGAAAAACAGGTGAAGTCATGTATTTAACAAGAGTTAAATAAAAAGCATATTTTTTCAATGACATAGTAAGTGATTATCAATTAAGATGACAGTCAAATAGTATGACTTCAGCCTTAATTTCTAGTGCTTTCCAAAAAGTTTACTATGATGCCTAGAAACTTCTTTAAGACTTTAAGTGTAGGCTGGGCATGATGGCTTACACCTGTAATCCCAGCACTTTGGGAGGCTGAGACTAGAGGATCGCTTGAGGCCAGGAGTTGGAGACCAGCCTGTGCAACACAGCAAGATTCCATCTCTACCAAAAAAAAAAAAAAATTATCCAGGCACAGTGACCTGTGGTCCCAGCTACTCAGGAGGCTGAGACGGGAGGATCGCCTGAACGTGGGAAGTCAAGGCTGCAGTGAGTTGTGATAATGCCACTGTGCTCCAGCCTGGGTGACAGAGTGAGACCCTAACTCAGAAAAAAAAAATTGTTTAAGTTGAATATATCATATATAGAAGATAAAGTTAGATACCAGATAGTTTCAAACATTTTTGAAAGTCATTAAAACATACTAAGACTAGCACGGTAAATTTATATAACTTTCATTTTGCTTCTTTTTCATATGTTAATTTTTATTCCCATATTTAGGAACTAGTAGCACTTTCTTTTATATCTCATCTTCTTTTGAATCTCCTTTACCACATTTTTTAATTTAAGAAACTCTAACAGATAAAGCAAAATCATGTCATCACCACCACTTGTGTTTTTCTTTCAAAATAGCCTCGGTGAGGGTCAAGAGGTAACTTTACCCCACTATTGAAAATTCTGGCCAGGCATGGTGGCTCCCACCTGTAATCACAGCACTTTAAGAGGCCAAGGCAGGCAGATCACTTGAGGCCGGCAGCTCAAGACCAGCCTGGCCAGCATGGTGAAACCCTACCTCTACTAAAAATACAAAAATTAGCTGGGCATGGTGACGTGCACCTGTAATTCCAGCTACTTGGGAGGCTGAGGCAGGAGAATCACTGGAATCCAGGAGGCAGAGGTTATAGTGAGCTGAGATCATGCCACTGTACTCCAGCCTGGGCAACAGAGCAAGACTCCATCTCAAAAAAAAAAAAAAAATGCAAGAAAATTCTAGGTGGCCCCATCATTTCTGCTGTAGGGCTGCAGATGGCACTGCAGCAGTGAATAGGTCTGGAGTCAGAAAGACCTGGATCTGAATGCTAACTCCTAACCACCAAGTGACCCTGAAAAACTTACCCCTCTTTAAATTTAATTTTCCTTAAGAGTACAAAGGAAATGATAAAACTCACCTTTGCAGGGTTATTGTGAGGGTTAAATTAAACTGCATATATAATGAACATGATAAAATGTTTTACACTGAGTAGGTGATCAATAAAGGAGAAGTATTATTTTTATTATTATGCCTCAGCCGAGTAACTAGGAACCTACGTAAACACAGTCCCTGTTCTCTACTACATGCTCAAGTGGGATACAAATGTACTGTAGAAAATAAGGCCTCACTAGGGCCTGTTATCTATGCGAGTAGTGAGCCTATGGTATTTTCTCCTGTCTTAATGGGCAATCTTTCAAATGGGTCTTCTTATTTTTCATGACAATTAATTTCTTATGAGACAGTTACCCTCCATATGTTCTCATTTTTTCCCTTGCTCTAAAGAAAAACAAGTTAAATCTAAACATAGTAACTTGCCAAATATTCCTGAAGAAGCTGTTTACTCTCCTCATGCAATGGCCAGAATTTAAACATTTATTCTGAGAAGGCAGATTTCACTCAAATTAAGATTTACTTACTTTTGCCAAGTACAGAAATGTATCTACCATTTCCTGCTGCTTCAGGGCTGATTTAAACTGTTTTTCTGCTTCACGATACATTCCCAACCTACAAATAGCAATTTTAAGAATTAGACATTCAACTTAAAAATAAACACTAGATCATACCCTGAGGATGAATAGAGACAAATTATAAGAGGAAGCACATACCAAGGAAGGTAATGTTGCACATACACATAAATTAACATGTTTATTTCTACAGTTTAGCAATAAGTTGCCTATCTCCCATATTCACCGGCTTCTAACCCCCAAATGGTATGTAAGGAGTCTGTCTGAAGCCTAGTCACAGCAGGACTAAGATAATAGCTGCTAGCAAGCCAGGTCACATCAGTTCACCACCCAAAGAGCTTATGATCAGCTGGACATATGGCAAGTGACCTGAATAAATGCTTAGAGTCTCCATATTACTGGAAGAGCTGAAGGATGACATTTATTTGAAAACATCTTCTGCTCTGAGACAAAAGCACATTTTTAAAAGCTATCTTTAAAAGTTATTTTGACCGAGTAATAATTAACACTTGGGTAATATAGTTATACCATTTTATTATTCTAGAAATCTTGTTTTCCCTTATTAGGTATCTGATACTGATTGTCCTAGTCTATCAATCTGAGATTTGCTCCCTGACTAAATATGATTGTCCTGATGTAAGTAGTGCCTACCTCTTATACCCAGGAAAGAATTTGTTGCCACTGATTCAATTATTAAAACACAACTTTCAACAGGTCTATTCATTCATGTCCTGAATAGACCTGTTAGGCTTACTCATAATCACTCATTTTTAGCTATCTGAGAGCTACTCAGCTACGATAATGTTTCATTTTGTGAAATAAAATCAAAATGACAGACAGTATGCTCCATCGTGCTATTTTCATTTAAAGGCTTGAAAGAAGAGCTTTGATCATTTTTCATAACTTAAACCTTAAGCATTGATGTGGCTGATGCCCAAATAGCTACTGGAGGCCTTGGGATGAAAGTGGTTAAAGGCTAAAGGTCAAAGAACTCTAAAGTTCTGAAAAACAACATATTTATCATATTTATGTACATAACATCAACTGAACATGAAAATCTTTTTATTTCTTTTGAGATAGTCTCTGTTGCCCAGGCTGGAGGGCAATGGTGGGATCACAGCACACCGCAGCCTTGCCCTCTGGGGCTCAAGCAATCCTCTGCCTCAGCCTCCCAAGTAGCTGGGATTACTGACATGTACCACTAGGCCTGGCTAACTTCTGTATTTTGTTTTCATAAAGACAGGGTCTCACCTTGTTGCCAAGGCTGCCTGCAAACTCCTGGGCTCAAGCTATCCTCCAACCTTGGCCTCCCAAAGTGCTGGTATTACAGGCATGAGCCACCGTGCCTGGCCGTGCATGCAAGTCTTAAACACGTGACTGAAATACAGTCACTAAATTCCATTAATTTAAAGTATCCATGAGAGTCTGTGTATTTTTATCTAACTTGTTTCTTTCCAAAAATCATTTAAAAGGGATTACAATAAAAAGATACATATAAAACAAGAATATGAAAACAGAAATAGATTATTTTAAAAACAATGGAGACAGAAAGATAAATTTAAAAAATAAAAATATAATCAGAGATATTGAGCTACATGAAAGTCAAAGAACCATGTTTTTTATTACTACAGCCTTAAGAGATAACTTCATCTAATACTATCAAAAAGCAATCTACCACATGAATTCTTGTGCAAAGAAAATGGAGCATGCCATGTTCAAAGAAAGTCAAGGCAAAAAACATCAGTCAAGTTCATAAACACCAGCCAATATCAAAGAGTCCGAGTCCAGCTGCCAACTTTTTCTCTCCAACTTAAATTTAACAGAATTGTAAAGTATCAACTGTATGCTTATTTCATGATGGTAAGGAGATGAAAAATGAAGAAGGTAACAACCATGTCCTTAAAGCAATGATAATCAAAGAATGAAACAAAGCATGTTCACAAATAAATTTAATCATATTATGGTCAATCAGGAAAAAAAGTGCTTTGAGAGCACAGAGGAGGTTCAGGAAGATAGTAAATAGGCAAGATTTCAACAGCTAGATGTGCAGGGAAGAGGGACATTTCCAAAATAAAATTAAACCATGAACATAAGTACATAGGCAGTAAAGTACACAGCAGGTTAGGGAATGCTGAATTTGGTTTCATTCAAAAGGATATAATAATGGGAGTACGGCTGGATGCAGTGGCTCATGCCTATAATCCCAGCACCTTAGGATGCCAAAGCGGGAGGATGGTGTGAGCCCCGGGGTTCAAGACCACCTTGGGCAACATAGCAAGAACCTGTCTCTATAAAAAAAAGAAAGTTTTAAAAAATTAGCTGGGCATGGTGGCATGTGCCTGTAATCCCAGCTACTTGGGAGACTGAGGCAGAAGGATGGCTTAAGCCTAGGAGATTGAGGGTGCAGTTAGCCATAATCACACAACTACACTCCGGCCTGGGTGAAAGAACAAGACCCCATCTCTAAAAAATAAAATAAAATAAAATATTATACAAAATTACCTTCAGCCTATGTGTATAAGGTTTACATGAAACATACATGAATTTCATCTTTAAACCTGGTCCCATCCCCAAGATATCTCATTATATATATATTCAAATATTCCAAAATCTGAAAAAACACAAAATCTGAAACACTTCTGTTCCCAAGCATTTCAGATAAGAAATACTTAACCTGTAATTATTTACTGGCCTCTCTTCCATTCTATTGTAAACCATTTGAAAGAAGGGATAATCTAATCTTTGTACTCCCAGTTCCTGGCAGAGTAGCTGCCCATTAAATATGTTACTGAGTGAATGAATGTGTAAATGAAAGAATACTGAATATGTCTTAAAGATGGGCAGGTATTAAAGAACAGAAAAGAAGGATAATTTAATATGACAAGGTATACTCATTTAAATGCCATCATTTATGGATGGCAAAAGCAATCAGAGTTTTGCTTTCCTTTAATTATCAAGCATTTCTGAAGGTTTTGCTTGGCAGCTCAAGATTTCAAGATTGTCTCCAGGAATTACATTCATAAGAGTTTAATGATATAATGGTCTAAAATTACCTCTTAGCAGGAAACACTTTTTCCATCTAGCAGCAGGAAAAAACACTTTAGAGTTCTATGTGAAATATCTAAATGGAAAGTAGTCTTAATTTCAATGGCAGAACAATAAACATGCTTTTTATCCCATTTATAGTCTTCTTTTTTCTCACAGTACTTGAATGAAAACTGAAGCTTATAAATATTGAAGTGTGTTCATAGTAACTGAAGTCTACCCTATTTTAATAATAAAAGATATTTATATTTATAAAATAGAATTGTTCATTTGTTTCTATTTTTCCAAATGTTCTATACGCATTTCAATATCAGCAACAAGTTTCAGATCTTATTTACTAGTTGCTCTATAAATATTCATAAAATTCATTATGATTCTTCTGATCTTTCAGTTAATTTGCTTTAAAATACATTTAAACATTAAGAGAATATAAGAATATTAAGGTCCTAGAGAAACAATATGGAATTGTGGAAACAGCAAGATAATTGGCATCAGAAAGTGAGCTCAAGTTCTTGTTCTGCCACTTACTGTTTACGTGAATTTGGACAAATCACTCTATCTTCGTGAGGCTCAATTTTTCTCATCTGAAGAAAGGACTAACAATAGCCACTACCTCCAAGGTGCTGTGAGACTTAAGTGAAATGGTACAATGTAGGAACAAAGTATCTCTTAACTGTGAAGTGTTTTACAGATGTGAGGCATGGGTGTAAATAAAAGATTTGATTACCAAGAGAACAGAAGTAGAAATCAGCAGACTTGGTTCTAGTCCCTGGTCTGTTACTCACTAGCTCCTGATGCAAATTACAACCACTCTCTTGGCCTCAGCTTCCTCATGTGAAAAGGGGAGTTGGGCCTGATGGTCTGAAAGCTTCCCTCTCTCAGCTCAAAAGTTTTATTATTCTAAAGGTATCAATTCTTATTGCTACCCTGTGATTGTTAAGTAAACGCTTTATCAAGTAAGCCAAAGACCCAGTTCTCGTTTCTTCATGGGAAAAACTACCCTCCAAAAACTTATCAGATTTGAGACCCTAAAATACATGGCCACTTCTAGGCCCTTCAAAAATAATGAAATTTACCTGTAGTAACATTTTCCAATCTGTACCTTCCACCACCAGTCCTTGTACTGAGAATGCTCTGTGGAGAGGGCAGCCAGATCCAAAGCCTTTGAAAACAATTCATTTTAGATTAGTATTTTCTTTTCTAACAATAAGCAGTCAGGAAAATAAATAATGAAATAGACCATATAATTAGCACCAGTCAAAACGTGCATTAGAAATCAGACAGAAACTCAAGTTGCTCATGTTTCCAGATGGCCCCACCAATTTTCCCTAATCAGTTCCAGACCAGAGGGCTAATAGCAGATGAGATAAAAACACTCATCAAAGGGAAGCAGATGTACAATATATTTGAATATAATTTTAATATACAAGACACAAAACTGATATTTAAAAAATGCCTAAGTTTTTACCCACTCCCCCTGACTTATCTACTGTATAATGATTCAAAATGCCTCCAAACTCCGTGGCAGTCAAGTCTTTGGTGTGTAAGCCAGATCCAGGGGCAGTGTCCACTTTCAAGAGAGATGTAGAAAAAGAAAGAAAGATTAAGAAAGCAGGTAGAGAAAAGATTTGGAAAATGGGATCATGAAGAAGAGTGAGAGGAACTTAAGTATTTGGATGACTGCTGTCTTCAACAACTATCATTCCACTTTTCTGACAACACCTTAGGGTCCCAGTAAATTCTAAGCAGCAGACTCCCCTTTGCTGAAAACTGAAGAAGATCTTCTCTTCAATTGCTTTCCTATTGTACATTTGTTTATCCCATATCTTTAATACTCTCAAATTTGTTCCCTCTATTGTTTATTCAAGATTAGACAAGAGGTGACTAAGTAAGAATTAGAATTTTATACAGAGGAAGTAGAAACCATTTTTGACAAAGGGAAAGCAAATCAGTCTTTGCAGAAATTTGAAGCTCAGATAAAGATGTGATTAATAGAAGCTGGGGCTACCAGTTAAGAGAGAATTCTGATTTTTTATAATACTATTTTTCTCTCAAGGCTGATAATTTTTTATTCTTTAGCTAGTGTTAATATAATCATGATATCCAAGAGCTCAGTTAAAGTAACTCTTAGATTTTCGGTTCTATTATCTCAAAACACATCCAGATTACTGTCCACTTCTTAATATCAACTCTTTTCTGAAATGAATGTGAGAAGAGTTCCTTAAATCTCTTACTGTATAATTAATTATTTTTCCTTGTGTTCCCCATCTTCTCTTTCTCCAGGGGAGATCTCTAAATATGCAAACTACTTATAAAGAAATGGTGACACCATGCTGAGCCTCTAATGGACTTGAAAAATCAGCATCTCTACTTGAAAGCTATGAAAATTAAAAACAAGCCACACACTACTTTCATATGCTTATTATTCTCCCCCACCACCCTGCCCCCAGCCAGAAATAAAAATGAAACCAAAAAAAATGAGGAGAAAAGTATAACTTCAATTAGCATTATTTTCAGATATACTAGAAAAACATATTTTCAGCCAGCTCAATTCAGGCATACATGGTAAATATCTAAACATTTTAACTTGATCTTTATAAAGACCTTTTCCAGTAAATAGATCATAGTCATTCTCATGCTTAGTATAAACAGACCTTCTATTTTTTAGAAAAAGATGTCATGCAAAAATTTTTTATGTATTCTAAATTCCCAAGGTTAGATTTAGTGCTTCTTACAGGCTGCTGGTTTTGCCTGCATAGTTGGTTCTAAAACAAGTCATCCTATGGAGAACCCATATGTTTGTACTAATCCAGTTAAGGATATTAATATAAATTATTGATACAGAATAAAAATGGCAAAAAGAAATTATAATGATGAAGACTCAGGCTGCTAAGGACAGAACTCTGACCTTTTTTTCTCTTGCACCAAATCCTTTCCAAGGAGGCTTGGGGAGTCACACCCTACAAACCATAAAATCTCATTAAATAATTTTTTTAAACTAACCTGGTATAATGCGGCCTACTTTCCAATCTGACTGTAGTACAGCATCACATGAGAGATGGCAGACACCCCCGATCTTAAACATCCCTATATACTGACTTCAAGTGACAAAGATTACCTAATTGCCACCTAAAGAATCCCTAAAACCCACCAATGACATGTAAGCCATGGCTTCGAGATGTACAGAATTTTCAGGCCCAATCAATGTATACCTTCCATGTATTGATTTATGATTTTACCTGCAATTCCCATACTTTCCTGAAATGTATAAAGCCAAACTGTAACCCAATTGCCTTGGGCACATTTTCTCAGGACCTTTTGAGACTATGTATCCCCAGACCGAGGTCACTCATACTGACTCAGAATAAACCTCTAAATACTTTGGCAGAATTTGGTTTTTCTGTCCTCACTGCACTAAAGAAAAACATTTGTGACAATTTCTTTCCTTTCTTTTTTTGATACAGTCTTGCTATGTTGCTCAAGCTGGATGGAGTGCAGTGGCACAATCTCAACACCTCCAGCTCCCAGGCTCAAGCAATTTTCATGCCTCAGCCTCTTGAATAGCTGGGATTACAGGTATGTGCCACCACGCCCAGCTAATTTTTTATGTTTTTAGTAGAGACACGGTTTCACCCCATGTCGGCCAGGCTAGTCTCGAACTCTTGGCCTCAAGTTGATCCACCTGCCTCAGCCTCCCAAAGTGCTGGGCTTACAGGTGTGAGCCACCATTCCTGGCCCACTTGGGACTATTTTAAGTGGCTGACAAGCTCCCTGAGGACAGATACTCCTCTTTTACATCTCTGCTGTTGTTCTGGAATATTGCTGTGCACAGAAGAGGTATTCAAGAACTATCTGTTGACTGAATTAATTATAATCTTTGTTTCTGACTTCTGTTGACAATACCTTAAGAACCAAACAAAACTGTCATAGTAATAAGATTCATAATTAAAAGCTATTAACCTTAAAATTTTTAAGTGGTGACAGAAGATCTATATTTCTATAACCATTCCCAAATTTTTTAAATAAATAACTATAAGACTTAAATTTAATGATCTTTAGATGATTTAGTAAAACCAATATCTAGATATTAATAAAAGCTCAGAATGTCATTTTTTAAAGCAATAAGTTTATAAACGTCCAAAAGTAGAAGGAATTTTGGCAGATCTAAGTTTTTAAAAAGTCACCCTTTCACTATGTTATAGTTGTAACAACTTCAAGATGATGAAATTAAAGAGCACGTGGAAACAAAGATTGCAGAATAACCGACTCACATGCCATTTTAGTTTTGTCAATACCAACAATATTGTCCAAAAAGGGAAAGGTGGGGAAAGGGAGTTATTAAATACTCAAAGGCAAAAACAGTTTTCCATAGATAACTTTACTTTTCCTTAAAATGTAAATACCACTTCGTGGCGTTCTCTACCTCTACAGTATTCTTCCTATTTGTCTGTAGATAAACACGGAATCACCAGCCCACGTGCCACTTGAGTTTTGTTGATACTGCCCACCCCCACAACATAAGAAAAGCACTAAAAGCTCAAAGACAGAAAAATTGTTTTCCATGGAGAATCAGTTTTATACTTTCTTAATATTTAAACACCATTTCAAGGTATTTCTTATATTGGTCTATAGTAGTCTCTGTATTTGTGTGAAATACTTTCTTTAAAGAGAAATTTGGAGGCCACCCAAGGAATCTAAATATAAAAACACCTCTGATTTCTTAACATGTTAAAAAAACAGAATTCCTTTTTTCTTTTTCCAGCTAAAGTTACAAAATATATGTAAGATATAAAAATACATGCTTTATACTCATTATCTAAATCCTTCTTCCATTCAGAAGATAACATTTCTGGTAAAAGCAAGAATGACATTTTAATGGAACAACCTGATCCACAACAGCACTATAATGTGGCAAGACCATACCAGAGTGAGAAATGGAACAAGACATCTGTCCAACTCAGCACCGCTAGCACCCATCAAAGTACTGATATACACAACCCAATCATTATTGTTTAAAGAATAATCAATGCATATATCAATATATGAATTAGTAAATAAAATGGAAAACAAAGGAACAATTTGTGTTTTTCACCAAATACTAACAAAACAAATTGCTCCATTTTATGTTCTACAAAAATGTATGTATATGGGGGGTAAGCAGATGAAAATCACAAGCAGAGTACAAATCGGCAGCATTTTAACATATTATTGCCCCTAATTTATAATTCATTTTATAAATGTAAAGTTACTATAACATTACTGTTGAAAAATTTTAAAACAAAGGTAAAATTAGACTTAATCTCCATTAGTACCATGAGGTACAACATAGGTGTTCAACAAATATTTGTGGAATGAATGCATCTTAACCTCAAAATACTACCATTTTAATGTTTAAGTAATACCTTCTAGTATCTGTCATAAATACAAAATATTTTTAGAGTTATACTTCTGTTTAACATACTAAATGGCATACTTTTGGCTTAACATTATAAAATAAATACTTTTCATGTTTCTGCCTAGTGTTTATAATTATGGTTTTTAATGGCTACATAAGATTCCATTATGCTATTTATTATAATTTACCAAACTCATTCCCTATTATTAAACATTTAGGTTGTTTTCCCAGCAGTTTTGCCACTATACCTAAAGCTGCAATGAACACCATTGCAAATACAGCACTTTACTTTTTCCTGCAATCTCCTGAGAAGTGAAATTATAGAAACAAATTGAGGAAATATCTTTATGGCTATCTAATGTACTCTCCCCCAGGATTTTTTTTCTAATTTCATAAATATAAAACTCAAAGGCCAAAGCCTCTTTATTTTACATTTTTGTTGTTATTAGGAAAGTACACCTCTAATGTGCTTATTTACCAGCATTTTTTCTAATGTAAGTTGTCTGGTTTTGGGTCATTTCTATTTTCATAAAAATTTTTCAAAAATTAAGATCAAGCTTTTTTTTTTTTTTTTTTTTGAGATGGAGTTTCGCTCTCGTCGCCCAGGCTGAAGTGCAATGGCGTGATCTGGGCTCATTGCAAACTCCGCCTCCCGGGTTCAAGCGATTCTCCTGCCTCAGCCTCCTGAGTAGCTGGGATTACAGGCGCCCACCACCGCGCCCGGCTAATTTTTGTATTTTTAGTAGAGACAGAGTTTCACCACGCTGGCCAGGCTTGTCTCAAACTCCTGACCTCAGGTGATCCACCCACCTCAGCCTCCCATAGTGTTGGGATTACAGGTGGGAACCACTGCACCCAGCCAAGATCAGCTTTTTTTATACATGATAAATACCAATATTTCAAAATCATGCTTCATGTATGTAATTCCCCCTTCTATTGCCCTTTTACTTCTGATTTTGTTTCTGTCCACTAGATAGGGATTACACATACGCATCAGTGAGTCTTTTTCCTTTGTGATTGTTTCACAAATCCAACCACATTTATGAAATACCCTATTGTTTGCTAGTTTAAATTTTTTAAATTCTTCATTGAATAAATATCTAAAACAAAGTCCCCAAATTTTCTCGAATGCCATTTAACGAATTATAAAGATGGATTTCAAAAAGAGTCAACAATTTTGTTCAACAATTTTGCTTGATTTTGGTGTTTTAAGAGAGTCACTGTTACCAAGAATAAAAATATATAATTTATAAATGGGGACTCCAGTTCTCAATAGTTTTTACTATCACCTCCGTGTTAATGAGATATATTTGAGTCATGTTTGTTGTCTCTTTTCTCTTCATTTGCTGATTTCTTTCATTGAGACAGGTAACACACCTCCTCTTATTTTGTTTGCTATAGGGAGCTCTGGTTTTTGAGTTCTGCTAGTATTCCCCAGGTCTATTTTACTACACGGGAACACCTGGCATTACACCCTTCTATTAATCATTGGTTTTTAAACTACTATATTCTACAGCAGCATTTTCCAATCCTGCCTGAAAATTGGCATTGCCTGCAGAGCTTTTATTAACAACAGATTTGCCAGATGTACCCTTGAGGATTCTGACTCAGGAAGTCTAGCACAGATCCAGAAGTCCTTATTTAATAATTCCCCAGGTAATTTAGAAACAGAGCCTAATATAGGAATTACCCAAGAGCCCTAATATTTGAGAGGTAGAAGATCATGGGGTGGGAGGAGCAAGGAGGAGGGCTGATGGATATGTTCTAAGTTTGCTAGCCCTGCTATAATTCAAGTAGCTCGACTTTTGTCTGTTTTATATATTAGGGTCTAGATAAGATTTCACTTGAAGAAAAGGATTTTGCTGCTTAAAATAAAAAGTTTAAATGTTACTACTCTATCTGTTTAAAATCAAATTTTGTTAAGTCCATATGCATGAAGAACTAGGATACTAACATAATATGTAAAAATTAAAGTCTGCTAATCCTTAGAATCTTTAGAACATAAGTGTAGTAGTGCAGGGAATAAATCTTACATTTTTTTCAATGTGATTTTTATTCCTCAATAAGAATGGGTAAATTCCAAGATGTAGAACTACATCCTCAAGATGAATCTATTAATGAAAAACACTGTTGCCATGACCTACAAATGGCTTATGATCTGTCTAGCTTCTGAACTCATCACCAACAACTCTTCCTCCTCACAGGCCTCACTCAGCCACACTGGCCTTCTTGCTGTTCCTCAGGCAACCCAAGCATGCTTCTATTCAGGGCCTTTACATTAAAGCTCTTTGAAAATGCCCTTCCTACACATAATGATGTGGTTCCTGTCCCCCTTCATTCAGGTGTCTGTTGAAATGTTTTCTTTTCTTTCTTTTTATTTTTGACACAGTCTCACTCTGTCACCCAAGCTGCAGTGCAGTGGCATGATCATGGCTCACTGCAGCCTCGACCTCCCTGGGTTCAGGTGATCCTCCCAGAGTAGCCAGGACTACAGCTCTACCCCTCTAGAGCAGCTGGGACTACAAGCACGTGCCACCACGCCTGGCTAACTTTTGTATTTTTTGTAGAGACAGGGTTTTACCACGTTGCCTAGGCTGGTCTCGAACTCCTGGGCTCACGTGATACACCTGCCTCGGCCTCCCAAAGTGCTGGAATTCAGCCACTGAGCCACATGTTTTCTGTTCAGCGTGACTTCAATACCCACTCCCCACTCCATCCAAAATAGCATCCTCCCCGATGTCATTATTTATTCCCTTACCTGTTTTTCTGCTTCTTTGTTGTTACAGTACTCATTAGCCCATGAGACTTCATACATTTTAAAGTTTATTTGTTTCTATTCCTTGCCCAACCAGAATATTATCTCTAAAAGAGCAGAGACTTTGTCTGCTTGTTTCACTGTGTGATCTCAGGGCTGGAACTGTGGTTCAAACATATATTGGATGAAAGAATAGATTCCCCTGATATGCATTAATCTTCCAAATATAAGAGTATCACTTTACGATACTTTAGTCATTCAAGATTTACTAGTTTATGAAATGGAACAGCATTCTAATGCTTTTTAATTACAGTTTGACCACATAATTTTATATATCATCATGCTGAAAGCCTCTCACCAGCTTTTTATGAAGTTAAGATGGCTGACTTTCGTTTCCAGAAATGTGCATGGTTTCTCAGTTGTCCCAACCTTCATATTTTTTTTTCCCTATATAACCACATCTATGAACACCGCATTCTGTATATGTGGCCCAGGCTGTCCCCTAGATTTCAATGTCACATCTCCCAACACATGCAATGGTATCTCCACTTAGATAGTCTTTTGTCATTTCAAACTCAAAATGCCTTCAAGTCACTTAGTCAGCTTCTTCACAAACTGACTTCCTTCCCTAATTATCCCATGTCTGCTAATAAAACTGTCACTCTTCTCACAGCATCTTTAGGAGGCAGATTTGACCTGTCTGTCTTTCCTTTGTTCCCCATATCAAATCTATCATCAAGTTCTGTCACTTCCTTCTTTAAAATGTCTCTGTGGAACTCCTATTTTCTAGGATAAGGCCTATTTATTGATCATTCCATATCTTATTCTTATTTTTGCCCTTTCTTTACATTTCTTTTTCCTCCTTTCCATACATCCTACTTATTTTATGGATCTTTACTAATATCATCCCTTCTGAATTTTTCCTTTTCCTACTTGGTAACAACTTCACAGTTTGACAGTTACCTCTTTAAGTATTTCATTTATGTCCATTTTATTTCTTCAGCTAGATTACATGGCTTGTAGAGGCAGGGAAAAGTATCATATTTTTTGTTAGGTCTCCTAGTGTATAGCTAGTGGTTGACACATAAAAAACACAATTAAGGGATGGTTATGGTGGCTCATACCTGAAATCCCAGCACTTTGGGAGGCTGAGGCAGGAGGATCACTTAAGGCCAGGAATTCAAGACCAGCCTGGGCAACATAGGGAGAGCATGTCTCTATAGATAATTTTTTTTTTTTTTTTTTTTTTTTAGCTAGGCATGGTGTCACATGCCTGTGGTCAAAGTTACTTGGGAGGCTGAGACGGGAGGATCGCCTGAGCCTGGGAAGTCAAGGCTGCAGTGACCCATGATAATGCCACTGCATTCCAGCCTGGGTGACAGAGTGAGACTCTGTCTCAAAATAAAAGGAAGAAGAAAAAAAGAAAACACAATTAAGGAAAACATTTTTATTTTCCTAAATGCTTAATATATGGATATAAAGCCTTTTTCCTGGAACTAATAGGAAAATGAGAAAACATGCAATCAGACACTGTAGAATGAACTACATTTGACCAACGTTGTTCCGCTTGTGTTCATTTGCATATAAGCATGCAAAAATCAAAACAATTTGAGAAGTCATACGCATATAACTTTAAAATTCTCTGTTAAGAGGCCATGAAGATGATTCCCTCTACTTTTGTATGTTTGAAATCTTTGATCACAAAATGTTAAAGACAGGGGAAAAGGACACACCACAAAAATAACAGAAATGCGTGCATTAGTAAACCTAGAATATACTATATGGATTAAGGAAATAAATTGATCAACAATACCATTAGCATAAAAACTATAACTTTAACACAAGCACGTCATGCAGTATTCTCAATTATCTGTATCTTCCCATTTATTGGAGATCTACATACTCTATGAACTAGGTATAGTTCTTATCGCTTGTGTATTTATACACATTTTCCCACTGAAACGGAGGGTGGATTTTAAAGTATTAATAATTCTTCAATCTTTAATAATTTCATCTGTTTATAAGGTCAGAAAAAGAATATTTCAGAATCTAGACTTACAAAGTCAGAAAAATTTCAAAAGAAAATAGCATGAATTCAAAACTTACAGTCTTAACATCATTTTCATGATGAAAGATATACTCAAACAAAGCCTGTGAAGAAAAAAGTGTCAAAAATACATTAGATGTTTTTTAAATTTTATGTTAACAAAAGCACTCTAAAGCCTTGGATTTATAGATAAAAGGGCTTATCCATCTTTTGTTACAATCACTCATTTTAAAATATTACTATTTACAACTGATTCTGGTTTTAACAGACTACAAACTAGAATGCTCAAAGAATTAAACATTTTTTTCATATTATATATTTTATTAGAAAGACAAATGAAAAGTTTATTTCTTAAAGACCAACTTCAGGATTGTCGTAAAACAGATGGAGACAATTCTTTACACTCTCTACATATATTATACAGTGATTATGATATTAATAAGGACAATTTAGACACAAAAAAACTGGAAGTTTCTACTGAAACAAAGTAGAGTACAAGGGTAAAGCGAGGTGTTTTTTGCTTAATTTTTAAAGCTATTTCTCCTTAGATGGTATTTATAGTAACTCTATGATTCAGAATATTCAGGTTTCTTTAGCAGGATGCTACTCGGCCAAGCTGGACATTGGGAACACCTGGTGGTGGGGCGCAGATCAGACCACTTAAATTAAATCAAAGTGGGGGGGATGGCAAAGGCCTGATCTTATATGTTTGAAAGCCCTCAGATAACTTGCATGGACAGCCAGGGCTAAGAACACTTATTTCCAATATTTCACTCAACTCCTCTAAACAAATAAGCATTTACTCTTATTGGCATTACCTTTTTCCATAATACCATCATACCACTTTCCATAATACCACTTGCAAAGAGGCTAACATCCCTAGAAGATATCAAGGTTACTAACAAAGAAGACTTGGAGGCAACCAATTTTTTTAAAAAATGAAGACAAGGCCTTTCTTTAAAAAAAAAAAAAAACAAAAAACAAAACCCTATAACAATCCCTCCATTTTTTCTGTTATAAAGAAAGAAAAGTTAAGAATGCAGTTGGTGCTACCACTGCCATGAAAAGGATGTTATAGCATCAAAGACAGTGTCATAGGGTCACCCTAGACACCCCAAGCAATATGCCTATATTAAAAATGAGTCCTGGTGGGTCAAGGCAAGCTCAGGGCCAAAGACAGGAAAACCTGGCATTATTTCTACGACATACTAAAAAAGCACAAAATCTAGTTCAGGCTAAATCTAGTAACAGACCAGGTCTGTCCTGGATGCATCTTAATTTAATTGAGAAAAATGCTTCCATTGACAGACTCTCTGGTCAAAATATAGCAATGGTATCAACCAGGCAGACAGTCCCTTCAAGTAAGTGGCCTTAAATGGTCGGGAACCAGATATTCCATGTGAGTTGCTTTCAATACTCCACTCTCATAAAAGAAAGGGAAGTAAGGATAGCTTTACAATTTTACTAAATGAAGTCAACTGGATTGCTGCCAAACAAGAATTTAAGAAAAAAAATCAGCAGCATTATTATTGGCTAATTCCCTGTCTACCAAATGGCATCTTTTTTTCAGACTTAAACTTAAGTCTGTTCAGCTAGTGTCCATTTTAATTTTCTCTAGTGTTTGGTATTTAGTAAACACGTATGTTAAACACCATTAGAACTGAGATTAGGAATGACCTCAGCACTTATGCTCAGAGATTTCAGCTAAAAACCTGAGCTAGGTTTAAACCAGTTTCCGGAAGATAAGTGCTCCTGTCTCTGAATTATTGCAAGCTCACCCTCAAGGTTTATATACTGAAAAGGTCATGGACACCTTCCTTTATTTTTCTCTTTCTCTTTTTCTTCCTCTCCTTCTCTTTCCCTTTCTCTCTCTCCCTCCGCCTCTCATTTTCTCTTTAATTTGAAGGAGCACTTAATCTTTGAGTAGTAATAATTACTAATGTAGTTGGCATGCCGCTATGTGGTTTGAGTAATCCCTATTGAGATGCCTGATAAATTACTAATTAAGAGTACATAATTTTTATCATTTTTGACAGTCCTAAAAAGCTACAAGGATAGAAAATTATTTCTCTGAGAATAGTCCAAGCTAAAAAAGAAAAAAATACGTACATATACAGATGACTTCTTAAGCTTCATTCTATAAAGATGATGCTGCATAACTGCTTTCTTTGTTATAAATTACTACTCTTTATCAAGGGAAAAGAATTTCCTATAATAATGGTATATGTACTTTATTTCTGACTGACTTTTCTTAACTCAATTAACTCAAAGACTAAGAGTAATTTTACATATTAAACATTTCCACTTCAATAAAGACGGCCTTTCCTTCACAAGTTTTTATTCATTTTCTAATTTGTCATTATCATCATACATGTAATATTACTTTATAACTCAAAATCATTTTAAGTACATACCTTTGCCAACTTAGGTTTCTGGGAATATTTTGTTAAATTCAGTCTAGATAAATTTATAAATGGTCCATCAGGACTTGTAAGCATGGAAGCCTACAGAAGAAAAACAATAGAACAAGAGATCTGAAACTTTCTCTTGAAACACAAACAAGTTTAATATGCATAAAAATATAAAAGCAACATAAAATAAAAACAACCACCTTCAAAAATCTTCCATATAATTCTCCACTATAACAACAGGGGAAAATGATGTACCAATGTATAAAGCTACTTTGGTAATACCAAAGTCATACAAGGCTATGGGAAAGCTGATAGAATTTACCGTTCCCAGCCTGACAAATCTTCCGGAGGAGCTGGTGATAGGGCGGGCTGTGTAGGCGGTTCTGGGGGTTCTGATGGCCTGTTCCATAGTGCCTGGCCTTCCACTCTGTGTGCTGGGCCTGAGGAAACCTGTAATGGGTCTTCCAGCTTGTGTGATTGGCCTGTGAAGATTATAAATTGTTATAATACAAAGAAGATCATTTGAGGAAAGACTTTCTCTCATACAGTCTGATCAACATTTAGTGGCAGAGGATACGAAGCAGAAGTACATACCTAACGGCCTGACTAGGCCCTCCTGTCTGATTAGTTCCAGGGAGTTTCAAAGACGTTCCAGGGCCTAGGAGACAGGATGGCTAATTCAATTTATATATTATCAATTAATCTGTAAAAACTGTAAGCTAATACAGTTTTCAGAACTGTGCTGGTCTGGTGAAAAAGACATTAATAGCAAGAAATATATTTTAGGGAAATGTGTTTTAGACTAATATTTAATGAGTACCTATCATGTTACTTATGTCATCACATTTAATCTTCACACTAAGTCTGTAAAGCAGGTAGTATTAACCCATTTAACAAAGGTTCACAGAATTAAATAAACAGGTCAGCCTATTAGTAGGGCTGGGATTTAAACTCAAGACTAACAGGCTCCAAAGTTCAAAATAATGGTTCTATCCTCATAGTTCAATTATTTCTCATATAAACTTCTTCCAATAAAACATAATTTATTCACAATATCTAGAATTTAGATATTTTAACTCTAAAAGAACAAAATAATGGTAAAGAAAGACATTTTAACATAAAAATATGTATTTTTTTTCTCAATTTCTATTTGAAGGTTTAAAATAGCTATTACCTTCCAAAAGATATAAATGACTGAGAACTATAATTACCAGCAAGACCACCGAATGTCCTGGTTATCATTCAATATCTTTTTTTTTAAGGCTAGTCAAGTGAAGCAGTGGGAGTGGAGAAGGAACAAAGAAACCTATAATGGGTTGTGATCAAGTAGTTGTAAACACCACTGCACTCGGACCAGGCTTTATCCAATACCATTTGTACCACCACATCTGCAAGCTGGGGACTGTGCCTCTGGGTCAATCCCAACAGACACTCACAGCCCAGCATATCACCTCATTACCTCACATTATGACTTAGAGCAAATCATGCTCAATTATAACAATAAACTGATGTTTTCAAAGGATCTTTTTTTAAAGTCCTCTTAGAACACCTCTGTTGTTTGGATACTTCCCAGATAAACAATATTCTGATATATTAGACAAGTAGTTCAAATAGAATGTATTTTTATAAATTTTTTCCATATGATCAGCAGTTGAACATAGATATAAATTATTTCTAAAATGCATAATATAGCTTGTATTAGAAAATTGTTATACATCAATCTCATACCTTAAGTTTAAGATAACTGAATTGTGGGGAAAAAGCCTTTGTACTATAAGGCAGAACAGAAACTATTTACTCAAAGTAATTTTTTTTCATCATTTTTGTTTCATGTATATAATGTTTATATATATAAAGTGTAGAAATACATAGGTATATACATATATCCCTCTTATACATAGTATTCTTCCTCTTAATGGTATTTCATTAACTTAACTGAAAACCCAATACTTACGTGGAACTTGAGCAATAGCATTTTCATCCAGCATCATTTCTGCAATTCCCTCCTGATCTACATCAATTTCATCTATGTACACCATTTCTGTTAGTGCTCTTGCTTTTAAGATCCAAGCTGCCTAAAAACCATGGATAAATAAAACACACATTAAAATAGCATTAGAAATACTACACGGCTTATAGAATAGCCATCCTTCATTGTTGTTATTTCATTTTGTATTAAACATGTTCACCTCTTGCTACGTTATTCTAATTTAAAGGGCCATGTCAAAAACTAATACAAGAAGGCATTATTATTAATGAAGAAACAACCCATGCATCAATTACACAGTAAATAAAAGTGGAGTAATTACCTGGTAGTCTTCTAACACCCCTTTTTAGAAATAAAAAGATAGATCTTTAGAGAAAATTTTACTAAAATAGTAATTGGAAAACAAATGAATAAAGCTACAACCACATTGTTCTTTCTGCCTTCCTCCTTCAAGGTCAAGTCCTTTATTATAAAGCCTTCCCTGAGGTTCCAGTTCTAAACCTATTACACGCTCTTGTCTTTCTCACAGAGAGTTCTCTTTATGCCTCTATTATTGCCCACTTAACTATATTTGAAAAACACTCTATTTATTTGGGTATATGTTAGCTCTTCCGTCCCCAGAATGCAAGCTTTTATACCTTGTTCACTTTGGAATTTTCCATAATATCTGTGGTTTTTGTAGACAGTAGGTATTCAAGAAATGTTAGTTGAACTGAACTAAGATCAATTTACCCAATTTCAATAATGAAACAACACTGGTTGCTTTGTGATCTAGTCAGTAGAAAACCTGCTAGATAATGAAAAAAAGGGAAAAGGTAATTAAGAAATATAACTGGAAAATATTTTATCAGCCTTGCTTTACTTTGAAAAATTCAATGTAAACATGTACACAATTAAATTTCTTATTAAACATATGAAATTATTTTATCTGAAATTTCTACCTTTCCTTTACTACAGAATAGAGGCAGAAAACAATAAAGCTTGGTGTCCTGTGGAGGATTTGAAAAGAAGGCAACTCTTGAAGCTGCAGCACAGAAGTGACTCTAGAGCCTAAAGGAAGTAGCAGCAAAGGAAATTTGGGGAGGGATTAGGCTCAGTATACTAGGAATATATGGCTGTGAAGCAGGCTCAGTGAAGGCCAAGGGACTGGAAAGGAACAGGTGAGAGCTACAGGAGGTCCAGAAAGTTCCCACGTAAAGAACTCAAGATGCATTCAGTATGTATATTCACTGAGCACCCCCTAATGAAATACCATCAGGCTAGGTTCTCAGAAGGAAACATGAGAAGATTAAAACACGGATCGTAATTTCCCTGAATACATCACCTATTGGATGAAATGACAGGTGACAAGTGTGTGATTTTATAGAAGTTGGAAAGCAGAGATCCTTTTGTGAGCTCAAGTAATTGGAATGCACGCTATGAACATTTTTTTAAAAAGAAAAAAAAAAAGAATAACGTCATGCGTTCATTTTAATGAGGATAAAGATGGCTGCCTCTACAACATATTTAGGTTCCCAAAGTGAAATTACATTTGGTTAGATGATTAGCTTTTGGCTTGCACTTTTCTGCTTGAGGTTTACTGGATTATTTAAAAATTTAGAACAAAGTGTTTCAAATGTTATGTATGAATTTAACACAATTGGATGAGTAGAATATGGACTCAAAAAACTAACTTATTTGTAAAAAAATTTTTTTTAAATTCCTACTGGAACTCCAATTGGAACTGTGAGAGCCACCAAAGTATAGAAAAAAAATCTCAGGTTTTCACTCATCAAAGATCAGGAACAATACCGTATGTATACAACGGCTCCCAGGCGTTGCGGAAGTCCTCAATGCCTTGGACTTATGTTCTAATTTAACTTTAAAGATGGAAATAGGCAATACTGATTTATATTAAATCTCTACAGGTCATACTGCCCTGCAAGTATCTGACAGCTTTGATTTTTCAAAAGAGCATTCTTTGCTCAGCACTCTCTGGTGGGTAAGAAGGACTGCAGCATTTTCTGCTGGAACAGCAAAGCACCACATGAGCTCTGCTTGTTACTGCCATATTACTAGGGAGCACCTACTGCATGCTACATCCTGGGTATACAAAGAGGAGTAAATCAGAGTCCTAGCTCTAACTGAAAAGAATTTCCATGTAATGAGAAAAATATAATAACAAAAATGAAAAACAAAAAGAAGTGTGTGATAGAACAGAGGAAATGTGTCCAGCTACCTGGGAGTGGAAGGAAGGGTAGAAGTGAAGAACTAGGACCAGTGGACAGGCAAAGTGGACAATAGGCAGGCTAGCTAGAGAGCCTATGGCATGTTTAAACTCTAGGAGAATTGAAGAATCAGGGAAGAGGTCAGAGAAAAAGTCAGGAGCCAGGTGATGGATCCTGTATGCCACAGTGAGGTATGTAAATTTTTATCCTGATAATGAGAAGCTAATGAGGCTTCAGAACTATGATTTGGAGTCCTACCTAAATCAAGCTTGTTTATTTATTTATTAATTTACTTTTTGAGACAGAGTTTTGCTCTTGTTGCCCAAGCTGGAGTATAATGGCACGATCTCAGCTCACTGTAACCTCTGCTTCCTGGGTTCAAGTGATTCTCCTGCCTCAGCCTCCCAAATAGCTGGGATTACAGGCACATGCCACCACGCCCAGCTAATTTTCTGTATTTTTAGTAGAGATGGGGTTTCACCATGTTGGTTAGGCTTGTCTTGAACTCCTGACCTCAAGTGATCCACCCTCTTTGGCTTCCCAAAGTGCTTAGATTACAGGCGTGCGCCATCACACCCGGCCTTAAGTCAACTTTTAAACATCAAGTTTTATCATTATAGTAGCATTTAGCATTTATATAGTTGGTTATTAATATATTTTATTTTTAACTATTTTCAAGTTCATATTGTTATTTCATAGTCCAATCCATCATGATTCTTGACATCCATCTCCCAACTGACCTCTTAAATATTAAAGAGTTACAGATTTTTTATATTAGGCTAAGCAAAATATAGAAAAGAAAATCCACTCTTCCTTCCCTGCAATATGAATAAATACTTCCGAAATCAAAGTCAAATAGGAATGTTTTTTTGAGACAGGCTCTCACCCTGTCTCCCAGGCTGGAATGCAGTGGTGCAGCCTCAACCTCCACAGTTCAGGTAATCCTTCCACCTCCCACCTCAGGTCTCAGGTTCCAGAGTAGCTAGGACTACAGATGTGTACTACCAAACCCAGCTTTGTTTGTTTGTTTGTTTGTTTGCAGAGATGGGATCTCACTTTGTTGCCCTGGCTGGTCTTGAACTCCTGGCCTCAAGTGATCCTCCTGCCTTGGCCTCCTAAAGTGCTCAGTTTACAGGTGTGAGCCACTGCGCCAAGGCTAGAAATATCTTTCTAAATTTTATTCCATAAGAATCCACTCTTTCAAAGAGATAAATAAATATTAATTTAATTTCTAAAATATAATTCTTAAGAAACAATGGTATGAATTTTTGATATTTACAGCTCTAGAATAAAATCTACTCACATTGTTATTCAATTTTAAATTTTATCAGTGTTTGAGAAAATTAATCTTCCTAAGTTCTCTTCTGTTCTAACAAAAAATGACCTTGAAAATCACATATCACTGCTTGATTAAACATCAGACTGTTTTCAAAGAACTGCTCCTGGCAATGTGAACAATTCTTGAGATTTTAATGAAAACAGCAGATGGAGCTTTGGCTTTAAAAAAATAATTTTTTTTTTTTACTTTGGAAACAAGCCAAGTATGTTTTACAGCCCTAAAATCCTCTGCCTGCTTAAAAAAAAAAAGCCAAAAAAACTTTAAAACTAATCAGTGATTAAAATAAAATGAATAACAAAGCACACACAGTAACTCCAAACTACCCCTTGAAACTAAACAAAAATATAAAGTTGCCTTATCAGATATGTTTACTTATTAATAAATGGGAGGGTCACACAGTTTAAAAAAATAGTTTATGCAAATTTATTTAAATATTTATGTATTAGAAGCACTATAATATCAATAAAAATAAGAATTGACGCTTTAGGAACTCTGTTTTGTAAGGGAAAAGCACAGATTCTCCCAAACCAAATGAATAATCATATCAATTTTTCCCTTTATATCTGTGAAACACAATCCCATCTCATTCACCAACTGAGTTAGTCTACAGGACATTACTCCTGAGGCAGATACTTGCCAGCAAACATCAGGAAAATATTGACTCACTCATTCCATCCACTGTGACATTAGTTCAGTTTTAGTTATAAAAATAAACATATGAAGGGCTTAAAACTCTGCTGACTGAGCAAAGCATGTTTAAATTATTCTGTTACTCTTAATACAGAATGCAAGGCCAGTAGTTTAAAGCATGTAAGAAACAATTTTAGGTTATTATTAGAATAAGGCTATGAAAGGAACAGTCTGTCTGACCTGATTTAAACATCATAAGACTCAGTAACTATTGACACTCTGCCTACTCTATGAAAATGAAAACTTAGGCACAAGATACTGAACTGTTATTGTATATAGCCTCATTCCTTTTGAAGTTGTAACAATGTGCAAAAATAAGAAATTCCAAAAGTGTAAATAGTAAGGCCAAAAGAATCTAGTCAGCCTTGTTCCCTTTTGTATCATCATACAGTGGATAATTAAGTCTATACAAACAGAACTGGAAAATAATGCCAAATACAGATTTTTCATGAAGTCCCTGTGCTAGTTTAAAGCTCTTAAATGCCATTTATAGTTTTAAAACCATTCCTGCAATGCAAATTTTTGATGTTTTAAATTTTAATCAAAATCTTCCAAATTTCCTGAAAACAAAATCCATAGTATTTATAACTTTGATCCTTCTTGAATGATCTGTACCAATATTATGCAAAAAAAATAGTTTTGCCCCATCTATCAGTTTGAAAATCAAGATTATGAACATTCAAAAGACAAACGTCAGCCTTTTAAAGAACACAGTGCCACATATTAACCTATTTACAGTGTGTGTTTAATACTACACAAGCCTCCATAAGAGTACTTTGTAAACTGCTTAATATTCTAAAAAGTTTGCTGATTACTCATACGAACACTTAATAAGGTTCAAGTCTTTTATTTACCTAAAGAAACCCTGTTAACATTCCATCTCCCTTGGCAGGGCAAACACATGGCGACATTTAAGCTCTCTGATTTATAACTCTGCACAACTTCTCTCCTTAGTCCCAGACTCACTGGCAACTCTCTTGGACTAAAAGTATCACTGGCCAGGTGTCCCCTCCTCTCTCCTAGGGCTTCCTCTCAATTCATTCCCTTATGTCTTATCCAGTTAGCAAGCCTCTAGCTGCCTCCCATCCTTACCCAAACTGATTTGGTCAATGTGACTGTCTGGGCAGTGTCCTTTCCTTCCTCCCTCACCGTGGTAGGCTCCTCCCTCTTAGAGCCACCAGGTCAGTTAAAACCAAGACCTTCTCAAGCAGAGTCCACCCTTGACTCAAGACATGCCATCCCATCCATCACAGTCTTTCAGACATTTGTCATTCCACTGACTCTCCTACTCCCTTTCTAAGCCCTTGGTTTCCCTCACCTCCTTCTTTATTTTTCTTATCCTTCTAATCCATCTTGGTCATTTCCATTTAAGCTCCAAATCCCAATGAATAGAGCGCATTATTAGTTCTACAAGGCTATCAATATACACAAAAGTATTGAAAATATAATCATTTATTTACATAAGAAGGCACAGATGTCTGATAGATATGGCTAATTTTATAAACCCACAGGAAGATATGCAGCAGATTTTCTAATCTATAGCAACAACTAAGCAATAGCAATTAAAGAATTCTCTAATCTAAAGGTTGCAGCTAAACCTTTCTTTACCTGATGCACTGGCAATTCAGGATCTGGTTCCTGGAAAGCATTAAGAAGGCAGTAAACAGTTTTAAGAAATACAGTTTCTAAAATAAAAAGTCTTAATGACCAGTCAAGTATTTGTAGGTGAACTCTAACTCATTCAATAAAAATCCAAAAAATTAACTTTAGTCTTCCTACAGAAGTGTTCTCAAGAGTTGTGTAAAATGAATACACATTGAAGAATGCTAAATTTTCAATGATCGGAAAATTCTAATTGATCTAACCTCAATCAAAGTGCAAAGAGAAGATACTTTAACTACTTATTTAATGAACACACAATATATCAGAAATTAAGAATAATTTCATAACTATACCAAGGAAATATCTCCTTTTATTCAAAAGTAAGTTCATGGTGGTTAAAACATTCAGACTTTAATCACTTAAAGAGAAGAAGGAAAATCCACACAATACAAACCCTTGTATTCCTCATAAATACAATGGGATTCATGACTAAAAATAAGTTAATTCTGACAATAATATCCTCCAAGAAATGTTTATAAATAAACTACACAATATGCATTAGTGTCAGATGCTGATAAATTCAGCATCTGGGTTTTTCTGTACAAATTAAATAGAAATCCATTGGTTTAAAGAAATCAGACTTATAACAAATTTATTTATAAAACATCTACACTTATATGTCTGTCTAGTCAGCAGCATCTGTTGAGTACTTAATCTGTTTTACTGGGGAAAGTACTAAGAAACAGAAAAAGGAAAGAAGATCCTTGCTTTCTACAGCTCTAAATCCAAAAAGAACACCTCAAATATTTTTAAAGAATATATTACTCTTACAAGCAATGTGCAAACCATATGGTCACCATGCAAGGACAGGCAATTTATTTAACATGACAAAATGGTAGGAACATGAGAGGAAAAGGTTAAGTTAGGCTAGAATATGAGGGCCCTAAAGGATGGGAGTTACAGAAGATGTGGCAATCAACTGAACTGAACACAAAACAGCAACTAGAGAACACATAGCAATTGGAGGTTTTCAACTCCAGTGCGCCTACCAAGGATGTGGAAAAAGTACAGATTTCCTAAACACAGTCCAAACTTAAGGAAACACACCAATCCAGGGAATGACATGCCAGATGAAAGAAGTAAGGCATTCTTTCTTTCTTCTGTTTACTTGTATACATATCTCTATAGCCCATTATCTCATTTGAGTCTCATAACAACCATCTGAGGAAAGCAGGGAAGTATTATTATCTACTTTATAGATAAGGAAACAAATTCAGAGACGTTAAGTAATTTAAGGTCATACAAACGGTTGAGGGAATCAAGTGCTCCTTCTTGCCAGTGCCTCTTGGAGATTTTTAAAAAAAAAAAAGAGTTGGACATAATAAGGCAGGAATGAAAGGTAAAGTTTAGGAGAGATACAAGATAAATCCAATACATTAAGAAAACTGGGGGAGAAAGTTTACTGGAGGTGATTATAGACAATGCTTGAAAAGGAAAAAACAGCTAAAGGAGACAGAAGCCACTGAAACTGGATGCTGTGATTTGCCAAGGGCAGGTAGATTCCTCCAGTGACACAAAATGAAACCACCAGTTCAGCCTCAGAGGATTTCTGCTCACTGAGGAAGGTCTTCACGATCTCTCTGTCTTGTTCTTCTGGCCTTCAGGGATACATTTAGGGCTGATCATGTGGATGAAGAGTATGCAGGGAAATTATGGGAAATCATCAACATGAAGGTCAGAGGAGAAAATGAGAGGCCTCATGAGCAGGGAGGTGCAGAGACAGGTGAGGGATTGCGTTGATGGAAAATGGAGACCAGGCCTATGTGGGTACAAGGCCGAGAACACATTAATTTCACAACATTCTAGTCAGGGAGGCATCTAAATTACAGTACAATGTGTCAAACACTGTACTCACATTATGGTCAAACACAGGTGACTTAGGTGAACAAAAGAAAAGCAGAAGACACGGAAGGTGAGAGAGTCAGAGAAGGGGGAGATTATTCTGGAAATTATTGAGTGCCAATGATTTGTGAACTATATTCAACATCCTTTCACCATCCATTTCACTGGACATCTTCCTCACAAATGCTTTCCAGATTCCCAGCAATCCTTTAAGAAAAATATAGATGACAGAATCCTGCATGCAAATATCTGTAAGTGTACAGACAATAGCAGCTAACTTTTTTTTATCACTTACCACATGTTCATGAGCCTTATAACAACCCTCTGAGATACAGGTATATTATCATCACCATTTACAAATGAGAACACTCTGAGAGCAAGGTGTTGCAGGACCTGTGAGCCCCAAAATTGGGGCTTAGCCCAGGAGGGTACTTGGCTTTGCCACGGAAATAATTGTAGGGTGAGTCAGTGGTATTAGACAGCACTTTTATTGGCTGGTACTGCTCCTTGCAGAGTAGGGCTAACTCATAGGCAGTGTGGCCAGAATCAGCAACTATGGGCTTTTGGCAACTGTGTTTATACTCATGAAAACCCACTTTTAATTACATGCAAATTAAGGGGTGGGCCAATGCAAATTAGGGAACAGGTTATTTAGAACTTTCTAGGAAAGGGGCAGTAACTTATGGGTTGTTGCCATGGAAAGGGGTGGTAACTTCTGGGTCATTGCCATGGCACTTTTAAACTGTCATGGCAGCTGGTGGGAGGGTGTTCTGCTGATGAGCAGTGAGGGCAGCGAGGGGTCACTTTCCTTGCCATCTGCTGGTTTCTTCACTTTATCCTGTCTAGACCAGATCCTGTTTTGGTCAGCAGTGTTGTGACCAGAAGACAAGTCCTGTTGGTCTCTTACCTCAAAGGTATAGAGGCAGTATTTGAACCTAGACACTCTGGGTCCAGAGCAGGACTCTGCTGAGTATGTGGGATGACAGCAAGGATGGAACACAGACTACCGTAGGATGTGGAGAGACCAAGGACAGGCATGGATCTCTGGAGATCCATCAGGAGCAGGACTATGAAGGAAAAGAGTCGGAATGTTTTAATTTGGAGATAGGGGAAAACTCTTTTTAAAAAATCACTGAGCCTTTCCTCTTTGGGTCTCTCTCAGTCATAGTCTTGTGATTTAAATTAATCCACCCATGCAGCTTCACTTATTCTAGCAAGCGATTTATACGGGTATCAACGCAGTTGAGCAGAAAGCTCCAGGCTTTGCTGTAGAGTCAGAAGACGTGGGCTAGGCGTGATCCTCAGGGAGCCACTTAGCTGCATGACCTTGACAAAGTCATATAATCTACATTACCTTCTCAAATTAAAGCAATAGTACCCACCTCACAGGAGAATCTTAAGGACTAATAATAAAACCTTGCGTTTTTAAGAAAACTTCACAACTTTTAGAGTTCTTTCACATATATTATCATACTTTTTCAAGTATAAGCTTAACAGAAGCACCAAACCATCTATTACTCCCCCTTTCAGAACACAGAACTGATGGAAGATCAAATTAAAACTTCCTCTGACTCTCCCTCAAAGTAGGTAACAGGACATGGAAAGTAGAGTGCCACTTCCTAGAATGAGAAAATACCTATTAGCATCAACTTAAGTCACATCTGTTTGCTTCCTTCCTTCCACCCTAAGGTTCAGCATTTTCTTAGCTTGTTTCTGTTACTTTAGGGAATTAAATCTCCAGATAATTCTGAATGCAACTTTCTAATTACCACCAGTACTTATGCTGGCTAATGAGTCTCCTCAGCTCCATGCTTAAATTGCCAAGTCATTATTCAAAATTTAGTAATAAAAGAAGGGCGAAAAAGTTTAAGAGAATAGAGGAATTGATGGATTTCAGAAGGTTAGAGAGATCTAGTGACCACGCAGCCAAGTGGGAGTGTAATCTGTGTAAGTCAGCAGGAATACAAATTCATAAAATGACCTGCCCCACAGTGTATACAATCAAAGGATTAAGTCTGGCTAAGTCTCCATGGCCCCAAAGAGGAAACCAATTAGATAATCACACGACATGTTCTTTGGCTTGGATCACCAGATCACCGTCTCAACCAACTACTCACATATAGCTCATTGGGGAGCCCTGGTTTCATATCTTTCATCTAAGCCAGTCATTTTCAGCCATTTCTCCTCCTTCAAACCATTTACAATAATAACCCCCTCCTCTCTGTAACATCTCTCATTATAAGCATTATAAGTAACATCTCTCATTAAAGCGAGAATGTAAATTAGAAAAAAGTCTTTCTCCCATTCTGATACACAGTTCATGGGTCCCACCCTCAGAATCACCGATTTCAATAATCTGAAAATCTACCAGACACCTACCCCATTAATGAAAGCATATTGTCTTTTAAAAATCCCACGGCCTGAAAAACCTTCACGTTTTATTAACTGTTTAATTATAATGGAGCTAAAAACCAGGACTGGTTTTATTTAAAGCCATGAATCTGACATATGGAACACAAAGAACAGTAAACAGATTAAGCAACTAATCAGGATGACGATCAACATGAGCCGCAGAAGCAAACGTTCCCTCTAGGTCACAGTGCTGTACGGAGAGGACTGTTTTGCATTTCCTCTTTTTATATCTTACAACTTTTAACCACTTTTTCAGTCACAATTTAAAGAACACTTTGAAAAAGATAAAGCTTCTCTATGAATTGGTTATTCCTACTATATTTAATCAAAAAAGGGAAATTATAATAAATTAATCAGTTATCTTTCTTTCTTTATTCTTAACAGATCTGAACTTTAATACCCTTCATGCTTACAGATCCTGGCTGGCCTCTGTCCCTCACTATTCTGCATCTAGAAAAAGCAGTTGAGAACCCATGTTCTTCAAGAACAATTCCCCATTACCAAACACCATATTATTATATTTAATCTACCCTTCAGTTCTTTTGTAGCCAAATTAAAATGTGTTACTCTGAAGAAACAAGCTATTGCATGGTACATCATACCTCTCTGGCTAGCCTGACTATCAAAAATAAAATCCAGAAATCCTAATAGAAAATACAAGGCAATAATTCAAGACTTTTGATGATTCTACACCAAAACAGTATCCCTTAAAGGCGAAATAAATGCATACAAAATAGTCTTAGAGGTGGGCTTCATCTCAGTATGCTAATGTATCAGGACCAAAATGTTCTTTTTGAAGCTCCCTGGACCAGCTTATAAAAAGATTAACAAATAACAAATCATTTTTGAGAGGTTTTACTCATCTGGGAGAAAAATAAACAAAACCAAAAGTGAAAAATGACATTATTAAAAACAAAATATATCTTTTGTAAGGGCGAGGGGAAAATGTAAGAGCAAAAACGAATCCATTTGGCACTCAGAAAAATATTTTAATTTCTGGGCTCCTCTATGTGTCCAGGAGTTTCAAAGTCACTCCATACTATAATCAGTTTGGTGGCACAGAACAGTAATTCAAACAGTTACAGAGGAAAAGTACTCTCAAATGTGGAAACCTCAGTAAATGCCCAGGAGGCTAAAGGGGCATGAAGGTGAACCAGTTAACTGCAGAGCAGAGGACCATCTACTCCCGCTCTGGTCACATTTCTGTTAGCTTTTCATAGATGGTGAATCTCTCCATCATTTAACTTCCTCCACTGAAACAATGAAAGCACTGTAAGAAATAGCAATGATGATCATTACTATTAGAAACACTCTCCTGGAGGAACCCAGGAGGAATTTTAAAAGCTGATTTTTAAAAACTGACCCTCAAAACAAGAATTAAGAATGCCCATAAGGAAATTATATTTATTTGAAAAAGTAAGTGTCCATTGAAGAACCTATGGTGCTGAGAATTAAGGATGGGGCAGGGGAAGACAAAGATGATCAGGCAACTAGGATGATCTTCATAGAGGGGAAGCTGGCACATATGAACAACTCCATCAAAACCCATATACGAACATGACTGATGCACTCATTCAGCAAATACATAATAAGGGCCCCCGTGTGCCTGACTGCGTCGGGTGCTTGGGATACCATACAGACTTGCCATCTTGGAGTCATTTTCTAAGGAAAGAGAATTTTCAAGCTTGTAATCAAAGGAACTTCCTTAAGCTTCCTTCCTAAAGCTTTTCATTAATCGTGTCAACACTCTAACATAAATATTAATTTTTTTAATTAAGAAAAAGGCAGGATTTCTTCAAGCTTGGGAAAAATCATTCTGGGAAATATTTCCAACATGAAATAACAACTGGGTGCAAAATACAGAAACTGGTGCTACGAAAAACATAGAGTAATAACAGTACAGTGTTTAAAGTTAGGTCAAAGAACGACTAACATGAGTAAGCCCAGTAAACTTTTCAATAGCCCTACCTAGTATCAAAATCCAACTTTGGTAACATAACATCAAGTTAAACGTCTATTCCTGGTAAAATGCTACTCATTATTCTGGCAATATATACCGTTCAACCATAATAAACTACCTCAACAAAACAAATAAACAAATAAAACACATAAAAATGATTAGAAAGGAAAATAATATCAAGTTTCCTCCAGATCTGGTACTGATTCTCTTAGACCCACTCTGATATTTATTGGAGCTGAACATATCAACCCTTGCTCATAAAAATAAAACAATAACTTTTTTTTGAAACTTCTATTCAGGTCTGGTCACATATCGAATAAGAGATACACAATCTGTAGTAAGCACTCAAGGAAAGGTCATTGAGATGAATACATATAAAGTCCTGATATCTCAATTCATTGGTGCAATACTGAATGTCACTATGAACTCAAGATTAGAGGGTCTTAACTGTTAATAAAAATACTGCTGCTTCGCCTACATTTCCCAATGTACCAACATCTTCCCACGGTAACAGTGAAGATATTTGACCCTTTCCCTGGGCCAAAAAAAAAAAAAAGGAATCCGGTGGTCAAATAAGTTTCAGAACTATTTAATTATTTGCATTAATCAAAAATAGGCAAAACTAGTTTCCTTTTCTTCAAAACTACTCAGAGCCTTTAGGGTACATCCTGAATCTCCAAGAAGGAACACACATTTCCCAAATGTATTTAATGAGGAAACTTCTTCTCACTGAACAGCTCTTGGGACTACTGTTTTGTGGAACACAGAATGAAAACTACCCGAACTCAATGGAAAAATGAAAACAGCACATAATGTTCCTGCAAACCGTTTTGCCTAGAACAATGTCTGGCACATCAAAGTTTCTTTTTTTTTTTTTTTTGAGACGAGTCTCGCTCTGTCGCCCAGGCTGCAGTGCAGTGGCGCGATCTCGACTGACTGCAAGCTCCGCCTCTTGGGTTCACTCCATTCTCCTACCTCAGCCTGTAGCTAGGACTACAGGCGCCCGCCACCAGGCCTGGCTAAGTTTTTTGGTATTTTTACTAGAGACGGGGTTTCACCGTGTTAGCCAGGATGGTCTCGATCAGATTCCTGACCTCGTGATCCGCCCACCTCGGCCTCCCAAAGTGCTGGGATTACAGGCGTGAGCCACCGCGCCCGGCCACATCAAAGGTTCTTAACAAGTTTCTGTTGTACCAATGTAAAGGGATCAATATTTTGTCACGATTACCAAACATATTTGATTGTGCATTTTTTAAAGCAATATCTATGAGATTACTATGCCAAAAAACACACTTGGGGGACGGGCGTGGTGGCTCACGCCTGTAATCCCAACCCTTTGGGAGGCCGAGGCGGACGGATCACGAGGTCAGGAGTTCGAGACCACCCTGGCTAACACGGTGAAACCCCATCTCTACTAAATATACAAAAAATTAGCCGGGAGTGGTGGCACGCACCTGTAGTCCCAGCTACTTGGGAGTGTGAGGCAGGAGAATCGCTTGAACCCAGGAGCTGGAGGTTACAGAGATCCGAGATCACGCCGCTGCACTCCAGCTTGGGTGACAGAGCGAGACTCCATCTCAGAAAAAAAAAAAAAAAAAAACTTGGACAAATGCTTGTCTACAGAAACATAGTCCTATTAACTGATGCGAACTAACAACAGAACCTAGCTTTGCATTACCACTAACGTAGGCTGTTCTAAGAGAGATGTACTATCTGAAGGACAAAATATTCATCTCAGCAGGTTATCATCCATCATCCATTTGCTGGGAGCTAAGACAGAGCCTAGTAACAGCATTCACACTCAGGCCTCCGCTTTTGTAACTCCCTTCAATTTTCCATTTTTTCTAACATCTCCAAGGCAACACCACTAGAGGAAAAGCTAGGGAACTAGAACTATGTAGGTATATTCCACATTTACTAAAAGCACTGACAAACTGCCACAGCGCTACTTCTGTTCTCCCATTTTCTCCTTTTTTGCCTATTCCAGGAGCTACCTGCCCACCAGAATTGTACCACTCACGTACATTGTATACCACCTTTTCCAGTCGCTATACACATTACTTTAGTTTATTTAAGTTCTGTTTTTATCAGTGCCATCATTCCTTCTTGTAAGGAGCCTTTCTTTCCCATTTCTTCCTCCTACAATTATAGCTTCCCTTGTCCAGGTAATTTTTTAAATAATGAACGTATCTTTCTCCCTCCTAGATTCTCATTCCTCTAACTTGCATATTTGCCTCAAGCTACACTGATGGCCTCCTTCACTCTTGGACAACAGTCTAAAGCTGAAGTGGGAGGATCACATCCAAAAGGAAAAATGCAGCTATGTTAACAGGAGGTGGAGAGTCACAGATCTTCGTTTATGCATATTGTTTAGAAATTAATAACGCACACGCTGAGAGTTTAAATCCCATCAATATGCAAGTATAAATGAATTATCAAAGTTCCTCGTCAAAGTAAAATTCAGGGCTCTCACTCTGGGACACGTAGGGGAGGGGAGGCTGAAGATTGTGAGGAGGGGGCGGTCATGGCACAGAACTTGCTATCCCTGTGGGCGTGGTGGACAGCGGACCCACTAGCCACAGCTCCACAAGGTCTCGCTCCGGGCGCCTCCGAGGGCCGAACGGTCAGCCCCGCCTCGGGCCTTCCTCCCCGGCCTCCCCACCCAGGGCCGGAATATGCCCCAGACCCCGCAGCCTCAGCGTCAGGATGCACAGGCTGACGGGAGCTGGCCGGTACCTGGTCATAAGGGGACTTCTCCAGCATCTGCGTGCACAGATCCGCGCAGAGCTGGAACTTCCTGCGCCTAAAATAGCTCCAGGCCAGGAGCAGCGGCTCCATCTCCGAGCCCATGACTGCCGGTGCGGCCAGCGAAGGCCCAGCGCTCTAGGAGAGCGGTGGGCGGGGAGCTAGGAGCTGGCGGCGTCAGGCTCTGCCCGGCAACCGGCGACCGCTGGGGCCTTGCCCGAGAGGTGTCTGCAGCGCGCCTGAGAACAGGAAAAAGAAAAACCACCTCAAGCAGAACTCGGCTACAGGGCTTGACTAAACTTGGTTGCAAAAAATTGTGTACTTTTAAAGGCTACAGGTTGCATTAATTTTGAGAAGAAACCACCGCGGCTAAACAAAAAGGTAGTGACTTAGACACCTGCCCCTGGGGGGGAGGGGAGTCCTCCGCCCTCCCAGGAGGCGCAGTTGCCTAGCAACCGAATGCTCTGCAGGCCCCGCAGGTCCAGAAAAGTCCCGAGTTGATCTCTGTCCGGTGTCTGTCCTACTTCCATTCGCTCGTTTCTGTCCCTCTCGCTTTACCTTCTGATTCTAGAAACACAAACAAGTAAACAGCTTCCACCGTACCATCCCACCTATCAAGACCTAAAGCCCTAAATCCTGAAATTCTCCACTCTATTTCTCGAGGTCCTTCCCACCGAATCTCAACGTCTGAACTGCAAAGGGCTTGCTTTTACTCATTTTACAGATGAGAAACTGAGATAGACTCAGAGAAGAGAAATTATTAAAATTGCATTGAGTTAGGGAGCTGGAACTACAATCTGATTGACTACAAGTTGCTAATACATTTGTTAATTTGACTCACATGGTGATTCCGGATTGTAAATTGGTGACAGTTTTACCAAACTAGATAATGTGTGCAAAAAATAATAATTTTTAAAAAGAAACACCGTCTCCTGGCACTTGCTGTTTGGCAAGTGTTTACTTGTGCAGAGTGATTTCTTCAAAAACAATTCTGACTTTTCTCTAGAAATTTGCACAGATGACAAATATGCTTAATGGCAACGGTTTTGAAAAGAGAGATGTGACCAGCTAAATCCAGGTAGGCTTTTCTCAAACTACTGGGGTCTGAGAAAACATTAGACATTGTATTTAATCCACATATTTATATTTTTCATAGATATTAAAATGAACCTTATGCTTCTAAACTAAGAAATGTATTGTTACCTTTTCTTCTCTACTAAGCAGTCTTTCTCGAATTGTTGTATTTTGGAAGCCAGTAATTATCAGGATTGTGATTGTTATAGTTAAGTGTATTGTCATTGGTCTATTTGTGTTGCCCTGGAACTGCCGGTAGAAATGTAATTTCCCTAAAAGTCCTAATGAAGCAGCCCATGGTTTCTAAGTGTCAAATTTTTAAGAATGCACATGCCAACAATTGACAATTGGGCTCAGTATTTCACAGGGTCTTTTTGTTTTCTGGTACACTTTAAGCAGATTACTATATAAGTGATTTTCAACCCTACTAGAGAAAGTGAAGCACAGAGAAACAAGCCCTTTTAAAGGGTCGGTTTCACAAAGGATGCTAGATCTCAGTTCATAGATCCTTATCTTTTACTCTTTAGCATATAATCAGATGTTCTACATAAACTTTTTTAAAGAATAGTTTTCTATTTACAGAAAAGTCACAAAAATAGTAGACAGTTCCCATATACCCAGTTTCTCTATTGTGTGAGATATTGACATTTGTTTTTGTGTAAGATGATACATTTGTTACAACTAAGGAACAACAATCAATGTTACATTACTATTAACTAAACTCCACAGTTTATTTGGATTTCAGTACTTTTCCCCTAATATTATTTCTCTATTCCAGGATCTCACTTAGGGTGCCACGTAACATTTAGTTATCATGTCTCCTTTACCTCCTCTGATCTGTGGCAGTTTTTTAGACATTCCTTGTTTATGATGACCTTGGCAGTTTTGAAGAGTGCTGGTCAAGTATTTTGTAGAATATCTGAGAAGTTCTTTAAAATAGAGATGTCCCAATTCCAGCCCTAGAAATACTGACTTAAATTGTTTGTTTGAGGTAGGCCCGGGGCATCAGTTTTGTTTCTTCACATGTCCCAGGTGATTCTGATGGGTAGCCAGGATTAATCACCCATTACGTTGAGTTCTAGTCATGTATCTATTGAGATTACTGCCAACTTCCTACAGAGAAACAATATTTTCGTAAGTGGGGAAATAAACATGCCAATAAACATATAAAAAAATGTGGAACAGATGAGGCATTAAAATATTTTACTAGCATATAATGTATGTTAACTTCTTTCAGAAGGCTAATTGTTTTCTCTCACAAAAGTCAAATGAATCAGGAAAATTGTAGGATATTTACCAAATTACAGGATGTTCAACATGTCCAAATGTAGCATAAAATCTGTCTTTTAAAAGAATATAAAAATGTTATTTTTAATATGTAAATATGTTTATGGTTCATTGATTTTATGAATTTATAGACAGACTTACATCTTTTAATAATATCTAACTGATAAAGCAGAAGGCGTTTTTTAAAGATATGCTAGTAATAGGAAGAATGGACAATGTAACAATTGCTGGTGAAGGGAGTAGATAAGAGTTACTAGGACCATTTTCCTACTAGAGAAAGTGAAGCAGAGAAGCCCTTTAAAAGGATCAGTTTCACAATCAATGCTAGATCTCAGTTCATAGATCCTTATCTTTTATTCTGTAGCAACTAGATATTTCTTTAGGTTAATCTGTTTTAAATCAAATACGTAAGGTAATTTAACTTTAAATGCCAAAGGTTAAATTTTCTTAAATGTTAAATTGGAATTATTCCGCACATCTAACATAACCCAAAAGAAAAACAAAAGTTATAAAATGAGATATTCTCTTGGTCAACAAGTATTTGCCCGGGCTCTGTGCTTGGTGGTAAAAATGCAGAGATGAACAAGACAGATCTCCTGTCCCGAGAGTACTTATACACAAAGAGTAATTAGCATGAAGAGCACTGGACTTAAGGTAAGACTTAGCAGCTGTGTTTTCTCAGGCAAATTAGGAATCAGTTTAGGATGGTGATTAAGAAGTGGGCTCTTAGGCCAGGCATGGTGGCTCAGACCTATAATCTCAGTACTTTGGGAGGTCAAAGGCAAGCAGGATCACTTGAACCTTGAGCCCAGGAAGTCAAGGCTGCAGTGAACCATGATCATGCCATTGCACTCCAGCCTGGCAGCAGAGCAAGACCCTGTCACGAAAAAAAAAGGGCTCTGGAGCCAGATGTTTTATATTTGAAACCTGACTTTTTTTCATGCCCTTGGAAAAGTGGTGGGGACTTTGTGGAAGGGACTTACTGGCCCTGTGCCTCAGATTTTTATCCATAATGTAACATACATTTGCTGTATTATTTAAGAATTTTCAATTCTGCCCTAAAGAATAAGAGAAACAAATGGGATAGATGAAACTTACCTGTAAGTATATGTTACATCAACTCATATGTTAAGTACAGATAATAAGTACATCATTAACGCATGAAACATGTTAAACATAGAATAAATAGACATTTACTTCTTAAACATATGTTAAAAGGACAAAACAAACAAGAGTGTTACTTGTAGATAGAGATGGAAAGCAAAATAAACCTTAAATATTCATAAAGCATGGATCAGTCTGGTCTACCTCAAATTGACCACCCATTGGTATCATCCATTCTAACCCATTTGTTTTGGGCTTAAAATGTATAATGCTGCTCATAAGGTCATCGCTGAGCTATAGGTGTAGCCACACATACCTACCTCTGTCTTTTTATTATTTTTATTGTTTGGGGACAGGATCTTGCTCTGTCACCCAGGCTGGAGTGCAGTGGCATGATCATGGCTCATTGCCTGCTCACTGCAGCCTCAACCTCTGGGGCTCAGGTGATCCCCCCACCTCATCCTCCTGGGTAGCTGAGACTACAGGCATGCACCATTATGCCCGGCTAATTTTTTTTTAATTTTTTTGTAGAGACGTGATCTCGCCATGTTGCCCAGGCTGTTCTTGAACTCCTGGGCTCAAGCACTCTGCCTGCTTCAATTTTCCTAAGTGTTTGAATTACAGTTGTGAGCCCCGGCACCCAGCAACCTGTCTTTTTGATAGAGCAAGTGTAGATTGGCACCCTGAACCTTCCATCTCTGAACATTCTTACCTACACTCTGGTTCTTGTAACCATGCCATCTTTGGAGAAGGCAGATGAGGCAGAGAGAGAGGCAGAACATATGAACACTGAGTGACCCACAGTAGTGTGGTCCTTTCACCTGCCTGATCTAAATGTGTTCACCTACCCAATCTCTTTCCCCTCGCTTCCTGCTTTTTTCTAAAACAATTCAGTCTCCACAGTGACTGTCAAAAATTGCCAATGCTGACTATCTAGCAAGTTGTCATGGCAGGGTATTGGAAAAAGTTTTCAATTAGCAATAATGTAGGATAAACCTCACTGGCTACCACATTTCCACTGTACAAAGCTAAGACTGTGTGTTTTAAATTGATTTAACAAACTAACTTATTTGACCATCTTAATCTGGCCTATGAGCCAGACTATAATGATAGGCCATCTTAATCTGGCCTATGAGCCAGTATTGGAAAAAGTTTTCAATTAGCAATAATGTAGGATAAACCTCATTGGCTACCATATTTCCACTATACAAAGCTAAGACTGTGTGTTTTAAATTGGTTTAACAAACTAACTTATTTGACCATCTTAATCTGGCCTATGAGCCAGATTATAATGATAGTGATAATGATAGTGAATATTTTATGGGATGATTGTGGAGAGCACATCAATTTAATTCAACTAAGTCACAATTACATTGTCTTTCAAAGAACATAGAAACACATTGGGTGGGAATCAGTACTGTGTGCAACCAGGTAGCTCCTCTATTTTCAGTCAGACTGAAACAGGAATTAAAAGAAATTAAAGAATGTGTAAGCAATAACTCAATTGTATGTAAGAAAACCCAATTCCCCCTGAAGAAGAGAAAGAGCAGGAGTCCTTTGAAATTAACTGCCTATTTTTCTGTGGCTAGTGAACCTTGTCTCTCCCTTTCCCAGGCATTGTGAAGACTGTTTCTCTAGCTGTGCAGCTGCAAGGTCACTAGACAGATAATCTCAAGTCATAAAACATGTTGTTCCTTGAAAAGTAAGAAATAATGTAATGCATGTCTCAAGTGAATAACTGTCTTTGTTTCTCGCTTCTGTAATATGCTTTCCCCTGCACAGATCTCCCCCGTCCCACAAAATGCTTAAAAGGTAGCTTGACTCTTTGTTCGAGGCTCAGTCCTTTGGATGTTAATCTGACGGGGTTGGTGCACCTAAATAATTAACTAATTCCTCCTCAACCCCTCGGTGTCTCTGATTCCTTAATTATCCCACAGCGAGACAATGTTTATTACATGCTAGAGATAGAACAGTTTGAGGAATTACCAAAGAGATGGGAGTTGTTCTCATTTTCCAGGTTCCTTGAGGAAGTTCTTGGAGGAAGTTTCTTGAGGAATTCCTTAAGGAAGTGCTTGATATATATCTATTGATACTGATATTTATGCCAAAAATTATTTTAAATACTATGAGATGCCAGAGAAATAGGCTGAAGTGTGCATATAAACAAATAAGTTTAGTAAAGGATGATGGGAGCCATGATGGAAACCTGTGAGAGAACGCAGCTATGGAGGTAGGCCCAGAACTGAGTGATTCTGTCTGTGTGTGGGGTTCATAAACAGCTCTGCAGTCAGCCGCTGAGGAAAAGCTGCCCAACAGCATGCAATCCTGTGGACAGAAAAGGAGGGGTGGAAAAAGGAAAAAAAAAAAAAAAACAAGACTCAAAAATTCGCTGAAGCCAGATCATCAAGAATATGGAACACCATGCAGGGAAGTTTGGGTTTTAGCACATATTCAGTGAAAAGCCACCAGAGAAGTTTTACCAGTGAAATGAAACAACTTGATCGACTAAAAGTGAAGGCAAGGAGACTGGTTAGGATACTATTGTAATAGTCCAGATGTGAGTTGCTGGGAGTAATGGGGATGGACAGAAGAGGCCAAAACATGTTCATGAAATAGAGTCAACAGGACTTGGACACCGATTGAATATGGGGAGGGCATTTGGCTAAGGAAAGAAAAGAAGCCAGGATAACTCCCAGCTGTCTGGGTTGTGCATGTATGGATAGGGGAGCCAGTCACCAAGATGAGAGTGAAGGAGACAGAACAGGTTGGAAAAAAAAAGAGATTAAATTCATTTTGGGATATAGTGATTTTAAGTGTCTCTGGGACAGCCAGATGGAGATACTCTGTTAGTAACTAGAGTTAGAAGCCAGTCAGAAACAATGGAGCGAGGTCAGGGATGGAGATTAAATTTGAGAATCATATTATTATATATCTGCTCATGGAAAGCAATAAAGAGGATGAAATCATCCCATGGAGAATTTGTAGAATGAGAAGAGAGCCAAAGACAGAAACCCTGCAGATACCCAACATGAAGGGCAGGTAATGAGAAGAGGAAAAATAAAACATACTAAGAGAGAGTGGCCAGAGATGTAAGAGGAAAACCAGGTGGGTGTGGCATCATGAAGCCAAAGTACAGACAGAATTTCAAAAAGAAGAGGCAGTTCAACCATGTCCAATTCTGAGAATTCATGGAAACTAAAAGCTTAAAAAAAAATTCACTGATTTGGCCATTAGGTATCTATTTGCAATATTTGTCAGAGTCGTTTCAGGGAGTCAAGAGTGAAAAGGAACAGAAACCTGAGTGCAATAGGCTGAGACAGAAACAGACCTAAAGAAAGAGATATGCGAATGCAGCTTATTCTTTTGAGGGACAATTACTCATGCAAATGATTTTAAAATACTTGCAAAGCCACATGCATATGCTTGAATTCATAGAAATTTTCTACATTTTGGACATTTTACCATGTAATAGATGCTCTCTGTAAAGCTTTTAAGACTATCAAGTTCTATAACTGGCAGTTACATAAACCACTGATTCTGGGGTAGAGATTATTCCCTAAAGCGAATGTGGTCTGAAGTAACTCATTTACCATATTTTTGCTCAGGAAGAAGTGATACTTTTATACTCTTGGGCTCTGTATGAAAAAGTGAACTCATTATTACAGGAAAGTCATCAGAATCAAAATGGTGTCATTTGTGTTAAAAACGAACAAAATCCTGACAAATAGAACAGGGGAAGGCTATGAGGAGAGGGTTCTCATGCATGAGTGCTTCGTAACCAAAACTATCACAAAAGACTACAAAAAGCACAACATTGCACAAAGATCATCACAACCTTACACAAAAAATACTTCCGTGAGGACATCTGCCAGCCAACCTTGACTGATGCCACCCTTGTTAACAGATCCTTGTTATGGATCCTTTGAAGGAGAATCACTTCAAAACAATTCTGTAATCCTCTTTATTTTTCCTTTAAAAACCTTTATCTTTCTTTACCTCCCTGTACATGCATCTAGTTTACTATGGCACGCATATTCCCATTGCAATGTCCTATTCCTGAACAAATACCATTTTTGTTTAGAGAACATCTAAAAGAGGTTGGCAATTAACACTCACTTGTCATTTAAAAAGCCATAGAATGGCCAGGTGCATGCCTGTAGTCCCAGCTATTTGGAAGGCGGAGGTGGAAGGATTGCTTGAGCCCAGGAATCAGTCTCAGCAACACAGTAAGACTTTGTCTCCAAAAGAAAAATAAATAAATAAATAATAAATTAAATTTAAAAATTAAAAAAAATTTAAGGCCATAGAATGAAAAATTCTCAGAAATATGTAGCCAAATGTTTTTTGATATTACTTACATAAAGTAGTAATAAATAATATAAAACTATCTACCATTAGTTTATTTATTTTCATTTTTATTTATTTATTTTGAGACGGAGTCTTGCTTTGTTGCCCAGGTTGGAGTGCAATGGCATGTTCTCAGCTCACTGCAACATCTGCCTCCCAGGTTCAAGCTATTCTCCTGTCTCAGCCTCCTGGAGCTGGGATTACAGGCGCCCGCCACCACGCCTGGTTAATTTTTGTATTTTTAGTAGAGATGAGGTTTCACCATGTTGGTCAGGCTGGTTTCGAACTCCTGACCTCAGGTGATCCACCCGCCTCAGCCTCCCAAAGTGCTGGGATTACAGGAAGAAGCCACTGTGTCCGGCCCATTTATTTAGCTCTTAGTCTGGGTAGGTTAGACACAATACTAGGTTCCACACATGCTCTTAAATCTTCCTGTTAACTCTGCAATCTAGCTATTGTTACTATCCCCATTTTACAGATGAAAGGACAGCAACTTAGGTTTAGTTACTTGCAAAAATTCCTCCAGCTAGTGAGTAGCACAACCAAAATTTGAACTCATGTTTAGTCAAAATCCTGCACCCTCAACCAACTGTACACTTCTAACTACACTTGACTTCTCCCTACTCCTTCTGAACTTCATATAGTGTCTTTCCACATGCTGTCTAACATCTGCAGTGTCCTTATCTCCTCCCCACATGCCTTTTTTTTCTTATTGGTGTAGATAGATTCAGGCCAAATTCCCACTCTACTGTGAATCTTACGGATGCTCCAAGGGCCTGTGTGCAAGATATCGTTAATACTCTTATTATACAACTAGGCTGGGAGCAGTGGCTCACATCTTTGGGCGTAATCCCAGCACTTTGGGAAGCTAAGGCAGGCGGATCACTTGAGCTCAGGAGTTCAAGACCAGCCTGGCCAATATGGCAAAACTCCATCTCTACAAAAAGTATAAAAATTAGGTGGGGCCGGGCGCGGTGGCTCACGCCTGTAATCCCTGCACTTTGGGAGGCCGAGGCGGGCGGATCACGAGGTCAGTAGATCGAGACCATCCTGGCTAACACGGTGAAACCCCGTCTCTACTAAAATACAAAAAATTAGCCGGGCGTGGTGGCGGGCGCCTGTAGTCCCAGCTACTCCGGAGGCTGAGGCAGGAGAATGGCGCGAACCCGGGAGGCGGAGCTTGCAGTGAGCCGAGATGGTGCCACTGCACTCCAGCCTGGGCGACAGAGTGAAGACTCCGCCTCAAAAAAAAAAAAAAAAAAAAAAAAAAAATTAGCTGGGTGTGGTGGCACACGCCTGTAGTCCTAGCTACTCAGGAGGCTGAGATGGGAGCATCTCTTGAACCCTGGAGGCAGAGGTTGCAGTGAGCCAAGATCGCGCCGCTGCACTCCAGCCCAGGCAACAGAGCAAGACTCCATCTCAAAAATAAAATAAAAATAAAAATAAAAAAATAAAACTTATTGTGCTACATTGTAATATCTGATTCCCTTAGTAGACTTTAATGTATTCATCCAGCACATGGCACATGACAATAATCATTTTACAGACATTTGTTAAATGAATAGTTGAATGAAGCTCAATACATACTATACTTCTATACTAAGTGCAAAATTGAGAGTTATATTTTAAATGAATAATGTAAAGTTTGAATGTGTACTTTGTCATCTATATAAATGCTTAGGG